GTCATTGTCCCGCCTCACTTCGGTCTTGCTTGAGGGCCTCAGCAAATGAAGCGCGGCATTCAAAAATCGAACATTAAACTAGCCACCCGTGGTCAATTCTGGCTTGGCTACATGGTGGCGTGGCCAGCTGCCACCCTCATGCGTCTGGGGTGCAAACCTGTCGCTGCCGGGGTGTTCGAGTGTGGACCTGGCGACGCAACAACTGGCACTGGCAACATGTCAAAGATCACATCAGTGTGCATACAGAACTACATTTCCTTGTATGTTTCCGGCACATCGGGTCATCGGGCCAAGTCCTTTGCGGTCTCAGGCCCCCACGCCGTGGCAGCCTCACGCCTGGGCGTCAGCTGTCCGCCGTCCCGCAGGCCCTGCGACTGGCTGGGGGACCTGCAGAAAACCACGGACAAGCACATGTCGGTGTGAAGGCCCTGAGTCCAAATTCCGACATCCTAAACCCTAAAGGCACTGGATCCTAAATCCTAAGCCCTAAAGACCCTGAACCTTTTGCAGCAGGCCTGCCACTTCGCACCCTTTTGCAGAAGTGCCCTAAATCCTAGTGGCCCTGAACCCTAGATCCTATAAACCCTCAAGGCCCTGAACCCTAAATCCTAAACTGAGAAAGGCCGGTTTAGGGCACGGTCTGACGCAAGTACCGTGGAGGGCCTTGAATCCTAGATCGGGTTGCCATGGGATGTATCCTCCCTTCCAAAACACAAACGCCCCGCTTGCATATAAAAATAAGGAAGTATTAAGCATGTAGCATATGCATGTATATATGTATACATGTGTGTGTCTATGCGCCTATGCCTTCTGTTAAGATTTGCTTCCAACGCAAGAGTAGACCTCTCCAACTCGAGCCTCGCAGTACCGAGAGTTTTTTGCGTGGACCTCAGCACCCGACCGAGCGTCACAGGATCTATACTATTAAACGTGGGCAACGTGAACCATTGTATTCGGTGCATTGCCTCTCGCTTAGGATACCCTAGCGCCGAGAGCCCGGCGCAATTCCAGCACCCTCACGGGAAGCTGTTCGGCTACTTTCCCCGCCGGTTTCTGACTTTTCAAGTGACCTCGGGGATGCGAGGGGAACGTAGGCACACAGGCCCAAAGCAAATTTGGCTTCCGCCACGTGAAGTCAGCCCGAAGGTCCATAAGCCCATTCCTTTTCACCCTCTAAACACATCTAAACACTAGACCGATCCCCACTGTAAGCGTTGCGTCGACATGAAACTAACATGAAGCTTCGAAAGTTCCTGAGACATGGGCCCCGAGCCGCCTGGTCGCATGCGTGTGGACCTTCCCCGGCACCAGTGTTTTTCAGCCATTGCAGAGTGCAAGCTTGCAGGCAAGAAGTGTATGTTTGCACATCAAATGGGGGTCTTGTGTTAAGGTATCCCAGCACTAAGAGCCGGCCTCAAAGGCGTCATTAAGCTTGTGAACCACACAGTGCGCTTATCGTACGCAGGTATACTCGTGCCACCTGCACCGCACATGCCACATGACGTGTATGAGATGATAGGCTTACAGCTTAACGCATTTGCAAAGGCCGCTTCCAAACACTTGCATGCCGGCCGGAAATGAATGGAGCGTATCCTGCTCCTTTAGGCACAAGCAGCCCAAACGGCTTTGTCAACCAGCTCGAGACATCAATTCCTGCCAATGTGATTCTAACTCCCTTGAAACTGGGCCATTATAAGCACCAAGGTCCAGTCCCAACGTGACCCGAGCGCCCAGCGCGACTGCAACCTCCTCCTCTGGACTTCGAGCTCGAACATCTGGCGCCGACTTGCTTGATGGCCTTCAGAAGGAAGTCGCAGAAGAAAACAACGCCACGTGCCTACTGAGGCCCGAAGCGGGGCCCGAAGCGGTGAGACGGACGAGGACACGAGGACAACAATGAATATGCAGAAGACAAGGGCGACGACAGGAGTTACCAAAGAGGACCTTCATCACCAGCTCACTTAGTCTAGCGCAATTTGTGAGGCGACTAGTGACAAGGATGTCTGAAGCCACGTCGTGAGGTTAAAACTCGATGTCTGGAGCGAATTCGGTAATTACCTGCAGCTGAGGCATCGCGGTTAGCGGCCGTTTGAAGAGACTGCCACGCCACTTCAGTCGTGTTTGGCTTCCCCATGCTGCTCACGAGTCGCCGAAGTAGCAATCCCGCACTTGGCAGCATCCACGGTGGCAGGTTCATCGAGGTTCTAGCAATAGGCATGACACCTGGCAACAAAGCTGAAACGAGGTAGCCAGCGCTGTTCCTGTCTCCTTTTTTCTCACAAAGACCCCGAAGGACCGTGTTCGTCAGAAGTGTGAGCAAAGTGTTTCGTCGTGTGGCATTGGCAAATCACCATCGAAGCGATTCGAAGCGAATAATTTGATGTAGGTGAACTGAGCTCCGGTGTGATTAGCATTATGGCAAACGAAAATATCATCACGGTAGTTGAACCAGGGTATACCAGGGTCATGGTATTTGGGATGGATTGGGGGGGGGGGGGGGGGAGGAGCACGTCCCATTCATAATGCAAACATGCTCAAAACACGGGAAACTGTAGTTTTTGGCAGGTTTCTGCCGTTTTGTACATTTTTCTGAATGCGATCATGCAAGAACACTTGCATTTACGGCTTCGTGTTTTTGGCAAACCAAGCTCGAAGCCCTTCATCCGATAATCCTGAACATGCCTCGCCAACACCTGTGGTAGACTTCTTTGATTTGTAAGCACGCGGGAGCTGAATAGCCCGGCAAACTTGACTGAACTCAGGAGGCGCCTACTAACTTTTTTTTCTGCATGTTAATGTCCGGCGCTGAGTTTTCTGAATTTTCGCATCAATCCGTGGGCAGCACTGAAGTTGGGCTGCAATGTTTTGTTTTTGCGCTCTACGCCTGCCTCTCTCTCGCTCTTGTTCGGTCTTGCGAGAATCGACCAAGACATTGTGCCGACCACCGGGATTGTGGACCAGAAGTACCGCTTCTACCTACCTCGTTCTACAAATACTCTTGCTTCTGATGGTGCTCTTGCTACACCTTGCGCTGTTTGTACCAAAACATGCTAGGGCTGCTGCGAGCCGCGCTGAAGGCCAACAGACCTGCTGGGATTCAGTGCTGAAAACGGCTCCGAACTCATTCTGTGGATTGAAGGGCCTTTTGGCTCTGCATTATCATCCAAGCAGAGTGCTTAACAGGGTATTACATGCACAATGCGCAGATACGCGCAGCTAGCTAAGGCCTCCGTTCACGCCAGATCGGATGTGATTCAATGGCTGCAACTTTGACACCCTTAACCTGAGATGTGAGACACCGCCTGTGCGTCGCATGGGGTTCTGGAGGCTACACAGAGTGCTTTGCAATCATCCCGTGACCGGCGCACCCGTGCGTGCTTGTGCACTCTGTCTCTCTGTGTGTGTGTGTGTGTTCAGTGCCGTGCCTTACGTATTCAGTATTCACTAGCTTCGGTTCGAGTCCCTCCCAGGAAAAAGCCAGTGCCCCGGCTGAAAACAACAACTTCGATCCATCCGAGGGCCGCGAGTCACCTCGCAGGAATCTCCCCTCAGGATCTGGCCCGGCACCGCCCGGCGGTGAGCGCAAGGACCTTGAAGAAAGGACTTCAATGGCTCTGCAAGGTGTAAGGCTTTCAACCAGTTCCCTAGAGAGGGGCCTGGACGAGCATGCAAAGAACCGAGGGGCCCTACAGCGGGTGGCAAGAACTTGAGACAGCCCCTAAAACCTCCAAGTACCACGAGAAAACGGCGACAGTGTACAACAAGCCAATGCGGGAGAGATTCAACAGGGGGGGACCTCAGGGGACCGCAAATCGAGATTTTCGGAGTTTCGAATGGTTTGGACCTTGATGCCTGCCCCTTGGAGGCATCTTGAAGATTTGGTTGAGCGCCCGGGGGCTGGCAAACACGTACCCTGTACAGATAGTCTCATGCTACTTCGTGTAAGGATCTCCCCCTTCTTGGCGCAAACTCTAATGCGGCAGCGTGCACGGAACTTCAAGCAGACCAGTGGCATTTGAGCACGACACAAGTTCAAATGCTACGGCGCAAGTCTGAAACGGTCTCCCCATTGACGATGATCTGAACTCAGCTGATTAAATTCGGAAGCCTCGTCTTTGAAGCCTCGCCTGGGTTTCCCGACACAGCTCCAGCCTCTTGCCGAGGAGATGATGTCACGTTCTTCTCCGAGGGCCTAGAAGACGCTGGAACACTGCTGGGCTGGGGCGCTTCGAATCTGGCCCAGACATAAATCCCAAAGATAGTCAATGATCGGAGTTTATCGAAATTGCAAGTCCTGCAGAACCGGCAAACTGGAGAGTGGATGTAACAGGAAGATGTAGGGCAGCATCTCCAACAAAGTGATGCAAACATGCTCCATCACGCTGAAGTAGCTAAGTAGCTATCACTATCACGAACTACCCGTGCAAGAACGGCTTTGCCCTCTCTCCTTGTCTATCTCTCTGTCTGTCTCATGCGCCTGATGATTTCGGGAGGAGTTGGGGCTTTCCTACTTCTTGGATCTTTGCAAGAAGTGACCTGTTCTCCCGGTCCCGCGCCTTGGATGTTTCGATGTTTCGTAGCTATTTATATTGCTTGCGCCCTTGTTTTTCCCCCCCCCCCCCCCACCCGCCCCGAACCCAAACAAGGCACGTTTACGAACTGTCGGAAATTCTCCGAGGTTCGTGCGAGGCGCGCGGGATGCTGGGTGATCTGGGAGCAGGATTGCACAGCACGACCCGGAGCTTCAAAATGGAAGAAGGTTGTCGATGTGTTCAAGTCTTGGGTTCATAAGTTGATTGGGTGACTACAGATGGCAAACAACGCCATGTTGGATCTGTTCGTCGGGAGGCTGGCTGATGGTTTGGCAAAGCAGCCTTTTTCGAGATTGAACTTGAAAGATGCTAAGGCCCTTATATGTCCTCAAGACGCCATAATCGGCTAAGTACCCCCCCTCCTTTGTTCCGAACACCTTTGCTCACTTCAACTTGCCGGGTCCTGGCCTTGCTCCTCGGGGCATTTGCGCCGGCCTCGCTGGCAAGTCTAGAGGACTTGGGCCTTGCGGTTGGGGCCGCTTCGGGAAGCGTAGCTCCGTGCCCATCAGTTGAGCCATGGTTTGTATTTGATGGTGTTTTTAATGGAAATTTATTTCCTTCCGCGGAACCCTTCCACGGACCTTCCGCGTCTCGAAAGGTAGCTTCCGCGGGGCATGTTTTTAGAGCTTCCTTCCGCGGACCCTTCCGCGGAGCCATTTTCGCGTGAATTCGTACAGTTCCATCCGCGCAGTACGTTTGTAGTCTTAGGCACGTGTCCCATGAAGTTCCGGAACGACTGTCGATGTTGAAACCGAACAAGCACATGGTGTAGGTTAATCAGTCTGCGGCCCACACCACGTAGAAGAAATGACAGAACCACACATGAAAACAATGAAAGCTGTAGACGACACAGGCGGGCAGGGTTCGTCGTTTTGCTGCTCGAAGATGGTGTTTCACAAGCAAAGCTACACGAAGCGGAAGCCTACTCCTCCAGAATGGACCCCATCCTTCCGCGGAGCTTCCGCGGATTTCCGGCACCCGCCTCCCATCCAAACACCATTGCGCTAGACGAGGTTTGCGGGGCTGCTGGGTAGGTGGTTGTTACTTGGTTCGTGGTACTTTTGGAGCGTAGCCCAAAAGCCTAAACCCTAAACCGGCCAGGCGCCAGGGACCGATGCTCAGCGGCTGTTTGGGGTTGAAAGGTTATGCTTAAGACGGAGCTTCCTCGAGCTTCCGCGGGAAGATGCTTCCGCCAAACCTTCCGCGTGCTTCCGCGTCCACAGCGCGGAGCTCATTCTGAGCACAAACCCAAAATATGTTTCCGTACCAAATAAACTTTCAAGAAGCGCCTAAAAAACCGCAGCTCAGTTGACTCTCGGACTGTCCAAGTCATCAACGCTGCCCATTGTTCTGCACATTTGCATCGGTGAAGGCAGCCATGCGTTTCCAGCCCCTGTGGTCAACCCTTGACTGCTGCTTCGCGTGTCCGCTGTCCGGTTTTGGGAGTTCTCACATGTCCCCCTCCCCCGGCCTCCCTTGTGAATGCCGTCTATGCCCAGAAACCCCCCTGAAAGCTTCCGACATCTTCCGACGGCTTTGGCGCCCGTCCAGGGGCTCCGACGGGGCACCCGCAGCGCCACTCCCCGACTTCGAGGAAGACCTGGGAGGTGTCCGGTTGAACCGGTTGGGGTATTTCGCCCAGCCAGTAACCTAGCTCCACTCCGCGGTGCTGCAGGGACCGGGGATCAATGCTTGAGATCTTTAACGTGCGATTGCCCTGCTTCAAGTCGTCGTCGTTCATCATTGAGCTGGCAATCGATACCGCGCTCTATTGACAGATTTGCTAGCAAGCTTCAGCAATGATCAGCATGGCAGAGTTACAGTTGAAATTCAATACATCGTTGGGCCCATACATATGCCCAAGCAGAAGGATATAGAAGGACCTGCGGAGTCAGAACCTGCGAGGGTCGTTGTCCTCCCCTCGGAAATGGGCCTGAAGAACCAAGAAGAAATGGTCTTCAAAGGCTGACACTTTGTTGAAACAACTAGAGACACATTGAGGGAAGGCAACAGCGCAACCTGACAAGACACCACCACTCATAACTCTCCATCTCTCGCGCCTCTCACGGGCAGCATTCCACCGAACATGCCGACTAGAGCTTCTGCATGTCGATAATTGTAAAGCAAGGTCCACAGGCCACAAGGTTTAGCCTCAAAGGCCCCGGACGCTGCGCGCGGTGCCGGGCTGAGGGCCTGAGGCCTTCACAGATTCTGAAAGTGTTGACATGGGGTCTTTTGGGGGTTTCGAGGACAGAAGGAAGGGATTCTCCTTTGTCTCCCTCTCGCTCTCTTTCTTCCTTTCTTTGGGCGCGCTCTCTCTCATTCTCTCTGCGAGCATAACCCCCCAAGGGGTCGCACCATCTCGTGTCCGATGCCCTGTCCACGATGTCGCAGGCCGGCATGGGCGCTTTGACCAAGGGAGCCCCGCCCCGTTGTGTGAACATCACTCTCTCTCTCTCTCTCTCTCATCCATCTACCTTGCAAGACGCATCTCCGAAGCAGGTGTAAACGGGTCTGACCACTACATCCTGAGCCATGAGCCCTTCGCTTCCTTATAAACTCATAGTATACTATAGTAGGTAAGTCCCATGCTCTATGGGCCCTCCTGCCTCTGCGCATCCGCGGTTCTGTGAGCTCCATCCCGCATCGACCTTTGATTCCTCAGACAGCAAGAAATTAGGCTCGAGGCAAAACATTCTCAACCGAAAAACCATCCGAAATCCAGCAAGGTCCGGACGGACCAGAACTGCCTCTCAAAGCCGTCTTAGGGTTCTGAATCCACATGTGCTAATTATCTTGTGCTTCCTGTATCAGAGATGCTCACTCTCTTTATATATAACACGATGCTACCTGCTAGCAGACAGCCTCCAGCAAACAGCTAGCAGGGCAGCAAGGTGGCAGGGCAGCGCAGCAGCTAGCCGGCAGCAAAATATTTCAACCGGAGCAGCAGGGACCCCGGCGTGCCGGGTGCGGACTGGGGCGCAGCCATGGCCCCGGCCGTGCTGGCGGGCCTTGCTGTCTGAGTTACTTAATTAAAACAAGGCTCATGCAGGTGCCTGATCTGATCCAGTAGTTACGGGTAGCTTCTGGAGCAGCGCTTGCTGCTTGGTGTGGTGATACTTCGATCGGGCCCTTTGATGTACCTACCCAGTCAAAGGTCATAAGTCATAAGCCTTGAACCCAATGACTCACAACTCTCGAAACCGCAAGACTCCAGTGCTCATGACATGACGAAAATCCCACAAAAGGAGGTGCGCTGAGGCACACACGGGTGCTTCAAGGTGGAAGCAGGAGGACCAGGAGGAGTCACACCAGGTGCCATGCCAGTTACATCTTTGGTGGCGGGCCTGGGCTTTCCGGCTGCTTGGCTTTACAAGGGATCGGAGGGATCTGCCCTGGTTTTGATGTGCCTCCAAGCACAAATTTCTTGGATCGGGTGTGATCTAAATGTAGATGGAGTGCAAAAGAGTTAGGGACCAGAATGCGTGGAAAGACACCTCCACCATTACTCGGAGACGCCTCTACGCGCAAGAGTCTCGAATAGTCTCGAAGATTCTCTGAGTCCGGCTCCGGGGCGCGCCGGCGCCCTCGGGCATGGCACCGGCCCGGTTGGGGGACCTCCGAGTCTTTCATAGTTCGTCGCGATCGCGTATCGACACGCCGTGAAGACGCCCCAAAAACATCGCAAAGTCAAAGTTTCAAGTATGGGGCAGTTGCAAGATTCTGGAAAGCTTATGGAAGCTCAGTTTCAGAGGTTGAAGGTTGCGACAGGAGGGGATGAGCACAGCAACGAGAATCTTCGTTGCAGTGTCTCGCCTCGTTCGTTGTGCTACTGCTGCAAAATGCGGCAGTTCACAATGCTACTGGTACCCATCCTCCTGCAGGACCTTTCAACCACGCTATTGCCTTTGCCTACTGTAAACCCTATCCCATCTCGGCCTCTTGCTGACCTGCGGCTCCGAATGGCCAGAAGACCTCGCGGAGCCCAAAGGTTTAAGGCAACGATAATGGATAGAGACTGAGACGAGTAGTGACGTTTGGGCCTGCGAGCTTGGCTGAGGTCGGTGAGCACTGTGAGCACTTGCTGGTGTTCTGAGGGAGGTCTTAGTTTTGCGGGCTTCGGCTTCGGGGGGTCTTAGTTCTCGAGGCCCTCGGGACTGGCAATGGACTCACCGCAGCTGAATAGTACGTTGTTTTTACAAGAACGACTGCCCTCCGCTGCGACCTTTTGCCTGCCATGGAGGGTTTAGGGTACAGTACTTAGTTGAAGGAATTGCTCCTAGGTGCTCAGGCTGGTAACCTCTGGGATGCCCTGCTCCACTAGTGGTCTATGGCGAGTTTGCGTGCTCTTCTTCACTGCTTGGGGTCTACGCTGGTATAACTTGGAGTTTGACAGTCTGGGTGTAGGATCACCAGCCTGTGAGGGAGCACAAAGCCTCGGGTCGAAATTGTAACTTGACAAAGCCGAAGTCTCCAAGTTCAGAATCCCTGAAACGTTGAGGACTGGCCTGAGCCTGTTAAGTATAGTGCCAGCCTTTCGTGTAGTGCGAGAATTCTACAAAATCACAACAAGCAACAAAAGGATGGAGGGAATCTAAGAGGATCATTGAAAATCCTCCCGAGGATGCCACGATGTGCTCCGCACCCTCGCCGCGCCACCAGCCGAAGACCTGGAGTAAGCATGGCCAGAACGAGGATTAAAACAATCAGATAAAAGGCGCTTACATACCTGGACAACCGGGGGACCATCGCCCTAAACCAGTCATGAACTCATGAACTGTTAGCAGCCCAACTCGATATGTGAGCGAATTCTGAAAGAGGGCCTTCAATCTCTTAATAACTTCTCAGGTGGCTCAGAATTTCAGCCTTTCGGGAAGTGGCAAGCGGCAAAGCCTGTCAACTTTGTCTAGTTTGTAACTTGCATGAAAACTTAAGTTGGCATTGTGCCTCCTTCGCTTCAATCACGAATTGGGAATTGCATCATTCCTGGAAGGTTCTTGGCACTGGGGATGCCCTGAATCCAAAGTGTCTGAAAACGTGCTCATTGCAGGGTCAGCTCAACATTGCATGGGCTATGTTGACATGGCCCAGGTCCCACTAGCCCAAAGAAGCCCCAGCAACCTCACAGGCAAGCTAGTAAACAGAAGACAAGCATTTTGACTCTGGCATTTGCATTTTCAGCGCCTTTCTCCTAGAGCTTGCCGAACTTAGGACTGACGGAACAAGTTTGCGGAAGAATCGCTGCAGCTATGTGGGCATTTATATGGTGGTAGCGAGATGAACATGCAATTCTAGGTGCAACGACGGGTCTCCTGCAAGCTGACAGGCTCACAGTGCTCGCCACAGGCCCCGTTCACTATGATGCCAGCCGCATCGGTTCGCCAGCATACGACCATCTCCCACTTTACTGCAAATCCTACTTGAAGGCTAGCAAAGGTAAAATCGGAACTCTGAGTTGTCTAGGCCCCAAACTTCAAGCCAAACAGCCATCGAGCTCAAGTTGAGGATCAGAAAAAAACCTTTTGGGAGATGCGGTTTCAAGTAATCCCAAAGAATACATGGAAGAAATTAAGTCCAAACAGTTTGGTTGGGACGCCACCACAAGGTCAAACGCTGATCTAGCTTGGTAACGACGTGCCGACATATCTTGATCCCAATATATCCCAATGTTCATTCGGGGCACTCTGGGCTCCTGGCAGATTGCAAACTTCATGTATCATAACATGTGGCCTACCCTTATGCCCCATTGTATATGTAAGCCAAGTTCGAGTACGACTCACCCTTGCTTGGCTAGGATCTTGAAGTTTCGCATGCATATGCGCCAAAGGCACCTGAAAGAACCATGGCATGTGCGTGTCTGAGTGCTCTCAGCTTCTGCTGATGTGCCCTGAGGCCCGCGCATGAGAGTCCTTGACTGCTTCGAAGCTGCCAGGCTGCCGTCGGCCATCACGCCCGCCGTGTTGGCAGGCCTTCCCAGCTGTGCTGTGTTTCACAAATTGCCACTTTTGGCGAGGATGCCATGGTAGGATTCGACCACACTGCAATCGCAGTCACAGAGCATTTCCGCCTGGACAGCGGCGCGGTCGCTGCGGATGATGCTTGCCTCCAGAGACACCCCACAAAGCTGGTGAATTCTAACCTATTCAAGCATTCTCCCCTCCCATCCAATTGACCCAATGCAAATTCAGCAAGCTTCCAGCTCTGACACACGAGCCGAATCCAGAGCCCCCACACGCGATTCATTGCAATCCCTGGAAAATCACATCCATCATGGTCTGTTCTCAAAATCGACACAACACCTTTCGCAACACAATAATATATGAAACATGCTTCCAATCTCTTACAGACTGTTCATAAAAGTGCGCGTTCAAACTGATTGAATGTATCGCAATACTTTCTTGTCTGTGTTCATCCAATGTGATACCTCCTGGATGATGAGACACTGATTGTTTTCTTCAAAAAAAATTTCTTTTCAATGTTAACCCATGCTATTTCTCTTTGATAGACAGGCCTTTACAATGACAGGGAACACCCCCGCTTTTGCTTGAGGAATTGAACCCTAAACCCAAAACCCAAACCGTGAACCTTGAGCCCTAAGCCCTGAACCCTAAACTAACCCTCAACCCTTTGCAACGGGCTTCGATACCTCGCCCGGCCAGGCTCCCCGCGCTCCCTCGCACTCGTGACGAGAAGCTCCCAGAACCGTGCCCTTGTCGCACAGCCCTGAACTAGGTCACCCTAAACAAGCACCAAGATTCTCACCGAAAGCATGCCCCACACTGACCTGGAAAGCCCCACCGAGCTCCGCTCGAGTTAGGCCGGGACTGAGTGACTGAAAAGGACTGTGAGGGAGCCAAGCTGAAGTGACTGCAACTACTCGCTACATCTAAGAACAGACCTGTGTTCCTCAGCATCTTCATCCTCACAAGATCGCAACCGCTCCTCACGCCGCTTCTGCTTCAACCCTGAACCCTAAACCCCAAACCATAAACCCTAAACCCGGAACCCTAAACCCTAAACCCAACCCTTATTGCTTGGGGTCCAGCGACTTGGGCGCTGCGGAATCACCATGCTAACGCGGATGCGCTGGACCGGGCCGAGGCTGGTCGCGTAGCGTCAAAACTATTCCTTGAGCATAGACGAAATCAGCGACCTGTACTATCTTGCAGCGCATCGCTCTTTTATCTTTACCACATTCTAACCAGATACGCATTAACCTTTTCAACTGCAACACAACTTTGGCAAACGCCTGTGACATTTGGGGCGACATGATTCTGAACGCCTCGATCTTCTCTATCATACGAGTACCTATTGCTGCTTTATCTCCGCACACTATTCACCATTTTCGCAACTACAATGAACGATTCTAGATTCACATGGTGATGTCTTCGTTCGTACTACTTATGGTCGCTTCTACAAGTGTGGATGGTAGTTGAATGCCAAGTACAAATATATACGCCCAGGACCCAGGACGAGTGGAAACCTTGATGCAGAGAAAGATAGCTGCTGTGTATCAGAGAAGCGAATGGAACAAGCTATCGAAACACAGCACGAAATCAAAAAATGAAGCACGGTCATAAGGCAAAAACGACAATTTAAGTCCTATCCTTCGTGTTAGTAGGCTAACTCAAAACGTGCTTTTTGTTTTTTTCTCAAAACGTGCTTTCATTACTGATGTGCTCTCAAAATGCATGGTCGCAGCGCAGTTTCAGGCACAAAAACAAGCGGATGTAGCAAATGGCCGAATTGAGTGATTGGAGGGAACACCAAAACTTTAATATACAAATGAAGAACCCATCGGTCTAAAATTCAAACTCTAATCAAGAATACTTGAAAGAGCGGAAGATAAAACGTCGCAGAACCAGAGGCCCCCGAAATCTGGGTACAACGTCGCCGCCGCAGTAAAGCCAAGATGCTCCCGCCTTGGATTGGCACGAACTGGAGACCTGCAGGGAACTAAGGTTCACAAATCACGTTGCTGTCGCTCGTTAGCATTTGTGGTAGTGTGGGGTCAGAGGTGGAAGGATCACGCGTGCAAAATCTTGCACGATGTTTGAGCTTTCTTGACTTCAGCACGATGGCCTGCCACCTTATCTTTTCAAACAAGATGATCAATGACTCACCCTGGCATTTCTTGGGATTCATGGAAAGACCAGTGAAAGACCACACGGCAAAAACACCACCCTCCAAGAGCCCGCTTGCTTCCAGGCTTGAGGTTCGCCGATTGTCTACCCAAGCCCTCAAGTCAAATCCTGTCAAGTCCACTCAGGGCCCAAAAACCAACTCACATCAACTCATATCTCTGAGACACCCTCGCGGGCCTCTCCGGCCTCGATGCAGTCGATGCGCCCATCTGCAGCGGAGGCACAGTGTCGGGGCGGCGTGACCTGGTCAAGGGCTTGAATTTGGCTCGGGGCACTAGGGCTTGGCGTCTGCGGTTGCGGGTAGAATGCCGAGTTCATGCTTGGGTTCAGTTGAAAGGCTGCGATTCTCAGGCTGACCACTGATCTCCTTTTCGCCGCTGCCGTGACTTGTTCACAGCTCCATTGCAAAGATGCATGCACACAGAGGTCTTTGGGCAATCGCTCTCGGGATTGGAGATGTGTTCCTCTCCACTTTGCCAAAAGCAGCAGGGGGAATCCTGGCCCACATGTTGAAAGCCAGCCACGAGGCTCAAAGCACCTGGGTCTTGCTGTCCCACGTCAACTGGAAGAAGAACATCAGAAGCACCAAGAGGACTCCGAGGCCAGTATAGAGAGGCCACATTGGCTCATCGTCTTTGGCCCCGTCCGTGGCCGTCTCTGCAGAGGTCGGAGCAGAGGCCGCTTCACGAGCTGCAGACTTCGACGTGGAGTCGGGATGGGAAGTGGTAGCAGCTGGACGCCTTCGCAGCTCCTCCTTGTCTTCCCTTTGCGGAGGGACGATATCGTCCTCCTCCTCATTGAAGCGCGCCTTTCCGCGTTCTATCTTATCCGGCTCTCGGCACACCTCAATCCAGCAAAAAGCATCCTCTCCGACGATGGCGGGCACATTCCCATTCAGCTGCTGTTCCGGGACCTCACCGCACCAGGCCAATCTGCTTCGGTGATTCTTGGGAACCGCCTCTAATGCAAATTCAGGCATGAGACGGGTCTTTGCCACCTGCCAGGCGTACCTGAAGAGGTACTCGAAAGCCAAACCCTTCTCCGTGGTCTCCCAGCGACCTTCAAAGATTACCCAGTAAGGCGAGGCGCCGGATCCCGGAAGAGTCTGCTTCATGTAGAAGTGCCCGCAGTCGTAGAGCTTGATTGTAAACTCCACTGATCGAGTGCTGACTTCGCACTCGCCAAAGAATTTTGCACAAAGATTTCCCTTGACGAGGGCCTTGGTCTTCTTAGGCTGAAAGCCTGGATCTACCGCCCTTTCTGGCAGGCGGAACTTGATGACCTTCTCCTCAAAGCGAGTCTTTGTCTTGATTGCCACGAACTTCGGGATGTCCGCGTCCTCATTGATCTGGACCTTTTCGATGTGATCTGTGCCGATGACACCATATGCTATCCCCTGCAGCTCCTCAAAGGTCATGGGGCACTCGAAGGCCTTGCTCGCAACTTCGGCAATCTCCTCCACATGGGTCGGGACCCAGCTGACCTTCTTGATATCAATCTCGAAGTCCATGGCAGCTCTTCTCAATGAGCTCAGAATCTGCTGGTGCTGTCAGTGGGTGACGGACCTAGTGATGCGGCTTTTGGATTTGGAGTTTCAAGCAGCCAGCGTGCTCAACCGATGATCTAAATCCTCCGAACAGATCGTGTGCAGATCCGGACATCGACATCAACTTAGCACTTGTTAGTCTGCATCATGCCAGAAACCATTTGTCCTTGAAAAAGCGTGGCCACGAAAAAGGAATGGGGCAGGGGAGGTGGACAGTTGAACGCTTACGAAACACATACACAAGCATACGCCGACAAGTAGCCGTGCGGAGAAGTTAGGAAGTCGGCATGCGCTTGCATGGCGTTGGTGCCCCGGAGTCTACCCCAAAGAACTCTGCAAAACACCGGACGGTAGGTTTACCGGACTCTGGATCCAGCAAGCCAACGCAAATCCCAGAAGCAATCCTCGCTCTTGAGAGCCTACATGCCTATGTCAACTGACGCCCCGTCATTCTGCAGATGTTGGGTCGGGACCTGGCGGATACCCCTGGTAACTCGAGTGCCCGCGGACTGCGGGGGGACCTCCGGGCATTTGGCTGGCTTCGAAGCTTGGTTTAGGGGGGGCCGCCAGAGCTTTGATCGCGCAGTTTGTTGGTGCTTCAAACCTCATGGCCGAAAGCTAGGGTCTTGAGAGGTGTGCTTGAATTCCTGACAAGACATCTCCTGAAACAGCTTCTTGTTGTAGCATCCTCAGAAAACCCCTCGCGATCACTGCCAGGATGTAGGTTTGCTGGTACAGTTCGGCTGCGAATTGAGGAAGAATTAAGAACAAGAGTGTACTGTATCAGCGGATGCCAGCCTTCGGGGAGTACTGGGGCCGTCTGTAGTAACTTCAAAGCAACTGCGAAGGGCGACTTGATACTTTTGCCACAGCCACAACGTTTGAGGGTTGCCACGAACTCGCCACTCATCCTTTCCCTCACCCAACCGATCGCGGCTTATGGCTGACACTGCAATTCCGAAAGGACCTCACCAAAACAAGCTGGAAAGCCTGCAAGTTGAAATGGCGCAAATTCTGCAGCCCAACCATCAAGCATTGGAGAGTGAGGGCCCTGCACGGGAATGCCAACCGTCCGATAGCCGCGATCCCTGGGCCGGCTTTTGACATGATGTCGTAGATCATCCAAGCATGATTGGTCAATGACTAATGGCCCCTGTGAGCATGTAGAACATCAGGTTCTATCTGGGTCGAGATCGCGCTTGCAACTTGCAGCTGCAGTTGTCTGACAGGGAGCCATAAGCTTCACTGATCCAGCATGATCCAGCCATCGCAAGATGCAGCAGCAGCTATTCGCTGAGAGATTTCAATAAGCTGGGCTTTGCAACCTGAACGAGCAACATTTTTTTTGACAGTTGCTGATGCCTAGCGGGCCTAGCTGGAGGCCACACGCACTTGCGCAATCAACTCCACATGACAAAAACATACAAACAAATACATAAGCATACGCATACACACCCAAAAGGGCTGCAGTTGCAGATGATTCCTGTGTGCCAAGGAGCCACTCATCGCGGATTCTTGGTGAGACGCTGGCCTTCTGATGGAGGATGTCGCTCCTGACAGTCGGTCAAGCTACCTGACACTCGCAAAGAAGCATGGCACAGCATGGCATGCAGGCTCACGCTTTGGCGCTTGTCCTTGGCGTGCGCAGCTCTGTCGGAGAACCCTGCGGAGAGGAGGATCTTTGCCTGATCAAAGCTGCACCGCTGAAACTCCAAACAGCAGTTCCGGTTCTGAGTAATTCTGATAATTGCTATTGCGATCTTGGTCCTCTGCATCAAACTGGCAGTCTGCTCGACCGTCAGAACACCCTCAAACCCTCTACAGCAACCAGGAGTGGACTCATGCCTGGACCGTGCGCTTCGGGGCGAGGCCGGGCGACGGGTCTCACGCAGCCACCTGCAGCAGGTTGAAGTAGGAGAGGTGGGATCGGAAAATGGGGGTCTAGAGCAACTCAAGCCTTTCAGGACTCAAGAACATTCTATCTCCTGTGGGGCGGCGTGCAAGTGAAGCGCAGGGTGCTAACACGTGACGTGTGTGTGTGTGTGTGTGTTTTCTGTATGTGTGTGTGTGTGTGTTTGCTGTGTGTGTGTTTGTGTGTGTGTGTGTGTGTTTGGTGTGTGTGTGTGTGTGTGTTTGCTGTGTGTGCGTGTGTGTGTTTGCTGTGTGTGTTTGCTCTGTGTGTTTCTGTGTGGGTGTGTGTTTGTGTTTGTTTCTGTATCTGTCTCTGTCCTTGTCTGTGTCTTGCGCGTGGATCAGCACCTCTGTTGTTCACGAAGAACCTCGTCATGCGCTGGCCCTTCCAAGTCCTCAGTGACCCCAACATCCCCGAGTGAGATACGCCGCAAAAGTTCTGGTACATGGACGCCGCAATCCACCAACTCGGCTACAGCTCATTGCAAGTCGTAGGCTCACCATGGACTACTGGCAGAGCTTGAGAGCCCGGCTGGATTCAGCAATGGATCTCTGGCGACCTGCACGCCACAAGCCCGTTTTTTAAGTGGACATTGACATGTGGACATTGACATGTTTGTGATGCTTCGCCTCCAACTTTCGGTCCAGGAGTGACCCAGTCACAACGCAAGCCCTGAGAAAGGAATCCTGCTCCAGCCCCTTCCGCTTCAACCCTGTAAGCTGCAACTGGCTTGAGCCCCTCAACCCTCAAACCCTAAAGCCCCCAACATAGCGCTTCATGCCCTAAGCCGCCCTTTAAAGGTCATTGATCACTGGCCTCTTCGGGAATACCATAGCGTCTCCAAACCTGAAGGAAGAGGTGCCCTACGTGGTCCTACAGGGCTGTTCATGGTTGTTAAGTCGTTAAACCTTGCCACCTCAGAAGCCAAAAGGCTTGCCGTCAACATGTCAGGCTTGTCAGGGAATTTGGGAAGCAGGGTGCCTGAGCCGCAGAGTCCCCCAATCATGCTGGCCACAGGTCAGTGTGGAAAACCCACCACTTGTCGAATCTGCAGTCGGCAACCCTGAGGCCCTTCCAATGTGCACGCGGAGCAAGTCTGAGCTGGGAGCTTGTGCAAAAGCACCTGGGAATGTGTCTGAACTATGTTTCTTCGACTACTGAGCGCATGACTCTGGGCATCTGCACCAGCATCATTTTGCATAACGGCATGTAACGGGTCTTCAAAGAAGGCTTGCCCCGCACGGACGACAAGGAAACAACTTCTTCCAGGGAGTGATTTGGGGGAGAGCGGGGGCTCCTTTCTGGCATTTCTGCTTCAGCTTCTATCATGCAGCCTTCATGCGCTCTGCCAGCCTCAACCCTTAGCCTTGGACAGCTGAACTGCACCAACTCAGGAGTGCACTCACCATGTCGACGCCATAAACCAGCCCACAGTGCCGCGTGTCGAACTCCTCGAGCACTGTGCAGGCTACTCGTCGTGTACCAAGCAGACACCAACAATGCTCCACCGTGAATTTTCATGACGGGCATCAAGGAGGATGCTCTGCGTGAGATCTCAAGCAAGCCAGAACAGAACCTACGAGGTTCCCTTGTAAGCTCGGAATACGAAAAGAAAGGGTACCATAGGGTACCCTTTCTCAAGGGGTCGATAAGGAAACCGACTACCACGAAAGGGTCTGGCATGGTATGGCCCTAGAGCCCCAATTCGCCCCATTTCGCCCCATTTCGCCCAAGCCTAAGCCCGACTCTTGAAGCAGAGCTCCTTAAACAAGCTTCGGAGCTTCAGGCCAGTGATCGCCTGCCAATCGGTCAGCTAGGGTTTGCACCAGGTGGCAAAGTTCTAGGGCTTCGGGTAGAGCTCCTGTTTCGTCGTATGAAGCTGAGATTTGCTACTCTATAGCTGTTGTGGTGTGACAGCACCCAAAAGAACTCGAAGGCGCACGAGCAGCTGCCGCACTTGTCAAAAGTGCACTTCCTCGATGAGACAGTGTACGCACTGCGGGGTTTACTGTGCGCTGCAAGGCATGCGCAAAAGGCTCCCGCAACTTGCATGGAGCCGCATCAGCACAAGCGCGCTTCACCTTGTGCCTTGCTTTAGGCAAACCGAAACCCATTGGGCCATTGCTTGCCCGAGACGAGTTCTCATCTTGGGGCATGCCGGCCCAATTCTTTCTCGGACTACCTCGCGCTGCCTGAAACAACCAATATCTCCCAACATCATCGTAAATCTCTAAGATTCGCGCTTCGTTTCCCACTGCCTACGGGCAGCTCGTGACCAGGTTCAATCCTAAGCCCCCGCAGAATCAACAAGCCTTGGCTCTGACCATCAACAAGCTTATGACCTGACCCCTGCGTTCGTGAAACGGAATGGAGAAAGTGGCGCAGCACCCGGCCTCGTAGTCCAGCCCGAGCCGGAAGCGCAAGGCGCTGTCGAACTCATACCTGCTTCAAGTTGCTTTAGCCTCAAAGCCTCAAAGCCTCAAACACAGGAAGTCATCTTCACAAGAGCTGATTTTGGCAGGGCACGTGCTCACTGCGCCGCTGTTGTTAGCATCAATCGCCTGTGCAGGCTTTGTGCAAGCCCTCCACAGAATTGCCTGGGTTCCCGCGCAGCTGAAATTCCAAGGCTAAGGTCCACACCAAGAAAGCCAGACGGGGGCCTCCGCAGAGCCTGATGGTGGCTCTGCAGGCGAACTGTTTCACGGGAGACAGCAATGTCCACTAAAACCAATCCATGTACGTATGGCTGGACGCAAGCCCTGCAAGAAACAGCTGAGGGGCATGGCCTGGCAAGCACGACAACCTCGGATCGGAAGCGCAGCATGATATGATCATCGATGTGCAGCTCCAGTCGAGACTACGGTTTAAGGTTTGAGGCACACTTCGAATCAAGCTCTCATGAAGGGAAACGTCCCAGCTCACCGGGCCATGCTGGGCCAACGAGGGATCAGGCGTTGAGGGATCCACATGCCTCTCAAACAAAAACCCAAGTCTACAGCTTCTTCTAGGAAGGTTCAGTCTCTAGCCTGGGTCCTTGGGATTTCAGGTTCAGGGTTCACAGGGCTTTCGCTCAGTTCTAGCGGCAGCTGGGAGCGTAGCCAAGGCAGCAGCCCCTGTCAGCCCGCTCTCCCTGCACCAGGGCGGCCAGGCTGTTGCCGGTCAACTTTCCACAAGGCTCTCGGCAAAGATTTGTACTGCTAACTGGCAAACCCACATATCAGTAAAACCAACTGTGCCTAGGTCCTTACCTCTTCGGGGCAAATGCCTCAGCTGCTGGTAATCAAAAGACAACATCTGCCCCACCCACCCTCCCTGAAAAGTTGGAATCTTGGAACACGAACAACGCCGCCGACACGCAATGTATGGCAAGCCTCTTCAACGCATCTCTCTGGGCAACCTATCCCTTCCAGCCGCTGCCTCAGAGCTTCAAGGGCCAAAGCTGCACGTGAAGGAGCACCTGAGCGACACTGGAACTGCGCCTCAAGTGTACACAACAAGCAACGCGACCTCACACAAACTCGAGACGCGCGCTATCACATTTTTGACATGCATAAATGCGGCAGGCGGCGTCACAGAGTCGCACCTTGGCTTGCACTTACGGCAGCCAAGAGCGCTCGACACCCCACCGTCCTTCAAATAGGGTGGAGCGGGCGGGTCTTTTCAAGAAGAGGCTACGTTGCTACCTCACCTCAGCAACGAGTGCCTGCAACACGCGGCATTACGTTGCTACATCACTTGAGCAACGAACGCCTGCAACACGCGGCATTCGTTCCTAACGTGTCACTACGTGCAAGCATGCACTTCACGACAAACGACTTTCCTGGTGAGTCCTTGGCCAGGCAAACTTTCAGGGATGTCTTTCTGGGATTCTGGCCCTCAGCAGCTCAATACCCTGATCTTCAACACCCTACGGAACTTCACCTGCTTCTGGTCAGTTGGGCAACGATACCGACTTCGGATCGCTTTCCATCCGTCGCAAGGCTGAGGCAGCGGAGGGCAGGACTCAGGGCTGCACTTGCCGTGAGCTTCTTCTCCAGCCTTGCTCCAATTCAGAGGTGTACACAGTGTACATGATTCTTGTAAGGCTTTCTTCACTACAGGCCCCACGTGCTGTTCCCCAACATCTCCCACTCCTTCGCCTTAAGCATCGGTCCTTCTATGAACTTGTCGATTGCGTTGGATAATTTGGGGGCTTTGAAAATGGCGGCTGACGGGAGTGCTCGGTTCTGACTGCATGGGCCACTGCACGGGTGTTTATGCATGCTACCTGCGTCTTTGACCCACCTCTTCCTTACCTGCTACGTCGTTGCTTCAGGACTCGATCCCAAAACCTGAAGCCACCTGAGTCGAATTCTACACAAACCATTCACTTAAGCCGCTTAAGCCCTTCAGCCCTGTTGTCCTAGCAACACAATGCAACACAGGCCACTGTGAGCTAAGCTCCTCTGGGCCCGAGAGCTGAGAGGCCAACTCAGCAGAGCGCGACTCCGCGGCATGGAGCAGGAGTAGCAGGTCCGACGCCTAAGGCTCAAGGCTTTTTGAGTCTACTCTCACGACTAGCGCATGCGCAAGCAAGGCTCCGGTAACAGTGACTAGGGACTAGGATTGCTGGTTTCGACGGGTTAGGAGCTTAGGGTTTAGCATCCGCAAGCCTTACGGCTTCGCGAAACTACACTAGCCGTTTAACCCTCCAGGCCAAAGTCTGAAGCGAACCCTTCATTTAGCCTCGAGCCCAAAACTGCATGACCAGACTCCAGCCGATGTCGGGAAAGGCACAAGGGCCGCCTAGACCTTGACCTGCCTGCTCCCAGTTGTAACTCCTGGTTTTTGGTGGTTTGGGTAGCCATACTTATTCTTAAACGCTGTAACTATGATCCGACCTGCTGAACCCTGCAGGCCGCGCCGCCTCATCCTGCAACGAGTCTCGTGCCGCCTCCATGTGATGAGAGTCAAATGTCAGAATTTGTCAATGGAGCTCATATTTGTCTTTTGCTTAGCTGTTCATGAAATATTGCGAACATGAGATGATAGGAAGTGCAACCACAACCGTGGCAATGAGCATAGTACAGTAAGCAGCCAGCTGGAAGAGAAAGCAAGAAAAAACGGCCTCGGCTGCCTCCAAAGAAGCCCGCTGTCTTTCCAGCTCCTCGGTAGGTTCCGGTAGGTTTCTGGACCAGCTTTTTCTCTGACAGGCTTTTCGGGGCTGCCCGCTCTGTTCCCCCTTTTCCTGTCTGGGTTCTCTCTCCTCTCTTGCACTTCGGCTCCAAGGCTTTCTTTCTTTTTCCTTCTTTCAAGGGGCATAGGGCCCGGAGGTCTTGTGCCCCAATGTCAGACCCCAAAACTTTGCCACTTTGAATCTCAAGGCCCCCTAACTCCGAAGACCACCACCCCCTGGCCTCGACGACCTCGGCGAGCTGGGCTTGGCCATCTGCGCGCGGCTTGCAGAGGCTTCAGGGTTGTAAGGGCTTGGGTCCCTATGGCTTACAAGGCTTAGGGTTCCAGGGCACAGGGATAGCTGAAAGGGCTTCTAGGGTCTAGGCGTCTACAGCTGAAAAGAAGCTCGGGTAGAGGGCTTCATCGCTCACAACTCAGGGGGTTTTAGGTGTAGATGGTCAGGTGGAGCAGAGAGGATTCGTTGCGTCCAGCACAAAATCGATCTCCCCAAAAAACGGCAATTCTCACAGCAAGCTGAGCCTAGTCGATGCGGTTCAATATTCACGTGGTTCAGGTTTTCGGCCAATTTGTGAAGGGTGTAGATGAAATTGGACATGAAGTCTCGGGCTTTTTCAGGGGTCTGCAGTGCCTTAAGTCTAGGTAACGCCGCTGTTAGTTACCTGGCGCTGTTGAGTCATCGTTCGGGCATAGATGCTCTGGTCACGCTAAACACTGCAGGCACGTGATTCTGTAATCCCCACCACCCACCACCCAGAATTTACGCCCACGACTCGTCAAGACAGCTTTGTCGAACGCTTTCGGCGGACAGTGGCGTTCTTCGGCAACCCGCATGGCGCATGTCTGCGGCTCTGCAAAACGCCCAGTGGCCCAATGCACAATATGCACCCTGAAAAACCCGCAAACATGCTTAAGCGACCCTTTTCGGTTTGGAAGCTCTTTTGCGTTTTTCAAAGACTTGTAGAGGCCCTGGGACTTGTTCTACGCTCGAGCCAATCAATGTTTCGGGACCATTTTACAAGGAATCTATTGGTCTATTGGTATAAACGGTGTCTATGAAGCGGACCCTTGGAACCACACCCCACATTCTGTACCCAAAAAAAAGCCAAGCCCTGAAGCCCCAGACCCCCGAACCGAGGTCGGGCCATCGACAGGCACCACGAGATTGAGGGCATCCGCAAGGCAGGCCTCACCTGGTACCAGGGATACCACTACAGCCAACAGCTGAGACCTTGGAGTGAAAGCCAAAAAGTTGGACTCTACTCAAGAAGCACTGGAAGAAGCGCATGTCAGGCCCACAAGATCTATGTTTGTAAACATACACATATTGTGGTTTCCGAAACTGGGCTATTACGGGATCCTACTATGTGGGATCCATTTCAGGGGTCCCCTATTTTCGCAAACCCCCATATCGCGCCCGGCAGGTGGGAAGGACTCTCAACGCTACAGCGCCTATCCCATACTCTGCAAAGGAAGCTGCACACCCACGAAATCGTTCAACTCCACTTCCAGACTTCCAGAACCCATTCATCAGCAATACCAGACGTGCATCGCCTAGTCGTAGGCGATCTTCTGCCAGGTCCAACTCTGCCTCCTGGAGTATTGGGGGGATCTTTGGTCAAGATGGTCAACTAATGTCAACTATAACTCCTTGGACTCATCTGACCCTGGTCTCCTTTGGTAGATCTCAACAGCGCTTGGTGTCTTTTCTTTTTGTGCTGGGGTTTCCCTGCTGCCGCTTGCGGCACACAGCAGGGGTGTGTCGAAGTTCGGGGGCTTAGGGTTCCCCCGGCAGAGGAAGCCGAATAGTTGAAACGAGTAGAAGTTATGGAAAGGAAAGCCCCCCCTTTTGACATGCCGGCTTTCAACGTCTTCGCCTGCCTACGCACCATGCCCTCGGGCCGCAATCTGGAGTCGATCGCTGGATGCTACTGTACCTGGTTGCAATGGATCCTCCGAAACGCTCTCTCACTCCAACGCCTCATTTCACCAGGTTCTTGAGAGAAGCTGAGGGGGAGATGCCTCCTGAATCAATACGTAAAGCTCCAACAGTGCAGTCAGCGCAGTCGCATTACTTCTCGTAACTTCTGGCTAGAAGTGTTCTTGAGCAAGTCTTCTGGAAGCTTCCTGCGATCAACTCTACCCCCAAGATCACGCGGCTGAGACCCCATGCTGTACAGCTTTGTACATGTGGAGGAGGGCCACTTTACAAAGTAGAGCCTCGGGGCCTGGGTGAAGGGAGTCTTTTCTATGGGTTCTGCAACCAATGCAAGGCCGTCATGCCTCGATCTTCGATGTCCCTCTCGCGGCTCTGTACAATGCGCAGGCGCCTCACTCGATCATGGCTTCCAGCTCTTTCTCTGAGAGTGCCGTCGGTGGGGCACCTTTCAAAAAGTCCAAGACCGTGTGTTCCCTCTTGGTTTGCCCTCAAAGGAGGGTACTGCTTATGCATGAGACATGATCGACGGAACAATCGGCCGAAAGAAAGCCGCTTTTCAAGTCATCCGGTTCTGCAACCTCCGAGATGCAACGAAGCATTCACAAAGCACTTATTCCCACATGCCGACAATCACGATCCTTCACCAAGCCGTGTGCCTTGCTGCGCTGTAGCAGTCGCGGAAAGTCCAGCGGCAGAGGCTGTTGCCGGGTCTAAGCCTAGGTGAAGGCGACCCAAGCGAGTCTAGAGAGCGCTGCTGCAACCGATGTCTTCCCTGCATGGTAGCAGGAAGATTCTCAAATCTCGAGCTTCTTGAGCTAAGCGATGCTCCGTGACTCGAACAGATCTTGGACATGCCATGCAGTGCGCCTCTTAAGAACAATTGTAGAGGCTTTGTTTAAGTTTAAACCTCAGCTGGTTCCCCCAGCGGCACCACTTTTTTTGCATCTGCCCAAACTGAAACCCTAGGATGCCGAAAAAAGACCTGCTATAGCAATGAAAGAAGGCCTTCGAGGAATGCTTTTGCGTCCGCTGCGGTGACGGTGCTTGTGACCTGAGCGGTCTGCACAGCCTCAACCCTCAATCCACCAATTAGGCACTTGTACAGAGTCTGTACAGTACGAGCCCTCAAGGAAAGAAAGGATCTTCGGGCGCCACGTTTGCATCGATTGCATGGGGGCTAGCAGTCGCAAACTCCCGCAAGATCCGAGGCGGCTACGACCTCTGCGTCGGTGATGAGGCCCAGGCCTCCGTCCTCCAACGCATTCCAACACTTTCCAACACGAAAGTGCATGGCTAGGGGGATTTGTATTGTTTTACGGCACGTCATAGGGCAAGAAACCCTGGCAGAGAAAGGTGTCCTTTTTGATGCCATGTGACCCTGCCCTTTCCCCCCTTCCCCCCCCCTTCCCCCCGCCCGGTAGCCTTCACGACGCGTTCCCACAGCTGCCCAAGGCGCTTCGTCATCCGCAGGCGAATTTTTCGTGCGAACCTGTGCTTGGGCGCATGTACATATACTTGCACTACGCAGCCTGCACGCAGCATACGCATGAGAAAGTACGTGCTGAGGCCCGGACTCGTTGTAGCTGGCTGCTTCGCCTTCGCCTGCAGCCCGTCACAACTCCAGACGATGTATTCTAACTCAGTTCTAACTGCATCGAATTCAGCACAGTTAAGACTGGTTTGAGGCAACGTATGAGATCAGGTGAGACGATCCGGGATGCGGGGCCTTGTGCAGTCGCCGACGTCTCGTGTGTCAAGTGTGGGAGACACGTCACTGAAGTACAACATTGTCGGCTCAAAAACTTCCAGGTCCAAGTGCAGTCAGGCACGCATCGGGTCCCTTCGCTTGCCTCCCCTGTGGGTGGCCTGAGCCGGGTCCGTGGACTCCTTGTCTCCGCTTGACCCTTGTTGCCTCGCTTCATGTGGGGAGTCTCGGCCGGGTCTTTGGGCCTTTTGTCTCTGCTCTCCTTTACTGAACTTTACTGTATCCTTTTCATGTCTGCCTTCATGTGAGTGGAGCGCTGCGGATACAAAGGAACTGTTTGGAGCCGGAGGTGCGTTTCCCGGCGGTTCGGCTCCTGCGTCTCGGTGTGGTTCGGGAAGCTTCCCGAAAGTTGCATGGCTCCTTCTGTACTTCTTTCTTGCCCAGTTCACGCTGCAGTCTGTGAATGCACCATTCCACCCTTGAATGTTTGGGGTCTTCAACGGTGTTATTTGACATTGGACGTCTGTCTGGCGCGCTTCTCTAAAGTCGCCCACAATATCTTATGCATCTGTGGAAGGTCCGTAATGTTTGCAAGACTAATTGTCCGAGGATCGCGGGCGGAATGGCCCGGAGCAGCAGACAGGCTGTTTCCTGGTCGTATCGTCTGGGGAGCAAATGGCGGCCCAACCATTCTCAATTGATGGGGTGGATCCCCTTTGCGTGGAATGTCGCAGGGAGGCTCCGGTAGGTTTGTCGAGTTGCGTCTGAAAACCAGGCGCTCTGGCACATGTCGGATTCAGAATTCAGTGCTGCGCTCGCAGCCGAACCGAAGAAAGAGGCGTTGAGGCTCCAAAGGGCCGGGCCTTAGCTGCCGATAGGCTCCGTCGTGACCGTGTCCCCGCACTCTGGAGGAGACTGGTTGTCCGTGGAAGGATGCGAAGGAGAACGTCTAAGGCTGGTCGTTCATCGTGCTCGTCGTGTTGTGTCCACTCCTGCGCCAATCTTCTCCTCAGAACCTTCCGTTGCCATCGGACCCAGTTTGCTCTATGCTGAATGCGACAGCAATGGCCGGGTCGGCGTGTCATGTCCTGTGGCTTCGTACCCACTGGTGTGGATACTTCCCAGTGGGTCGGTGCTCTCAATGGGCCATTCATTCGTCCCCTCTGGACTGCGAACAAGATTTCATTGCACGTCGTCTCATGGTGTTGTTCTACTGTTGCCTGCGTCAATTTCTTGCGAATGTACTCACGAGCCTTCTGACTTCTGAGTAGGGTGTACTATTGCAGGTAGTGCTCACATGCCAAGTTAGCCCAAGCTGTCGCTCGCCCAGTAGCCGGAAGCCAGTTGAGAGTTCGCTGGACATCTGAGCTTCCAGCGAACACAACCACGCCTGAGGGTCGCCATGCAGCTGAGGGCCTGCGGGCCAGAGTCTCATCAGACATAGCAAGTCCCAAGCCGACAGAGATGGGCCAACTCCCCCCCCCCCCCAAGTAGAAACCCTCAGCTCCACAGCCCTACCATGCGCAGACAAGCCGGCGCCTTGCCGTGGAATTCCTCACCTTCTTCAGCGAAGCGCAAGATCACATCACACATCTGCCTGAGCGTCTAGAGAGGAGTTGTTGAGCACTTTTCTGCAATTCAGAGGTTCAGGATGGGGTTGAACAACCCTCTGGCTTCAGTGCTTCAGTAGCTAAGGCTCTCAATTGCTGGCCCGACCACATCCTCAGCTCAGACGTACGCTCAAACCTGCCCGACAGTCCCAAGCCTCAGCAGTCCCAACCACGCGCAGATGCTAGCAGCAGAAGTGCCGAGAGGACAGTACCCGATCTAAAGTGCTTCGTGCCCCAACGGCATGTGCAACCCTACAACTTCAGGCAGATCCCAACGCCAAACCCGAACTGGCCTTTAACATTTTTAACACCCTGAAGCTCAAACACTACTAGGCCTGCACTGGCCCTACACAGAGCTGTTGGATTTCGGTGTGCTCTTCGCAAGTTTGGGGGGGGCGGGGGGTGGCGAATGGTCGCGAAATGTCTGGTTTTCCAAAACAACGTCTCCATCGATCCCTACCAAGTGTCCACACCGCCGGTTCGCCGCTCGCCAAGCCAGCGCTCAAAGTCTCTTTCGGGGTGGACAGATCCGATGTGGACCTGAGGGTTGCACATGGGGGCCGATCTAAGCCACAAGCATGTTTATGGCGCCCATACTTCAGTTAGATTCCTGAATCTCGGCTTCATCTGAGCATAGAAACACAAAAAGCAATCTTCACAAGGGAACGTGGGCCGATGAGTTGGGCCTGTAGATTGATCTCATGCGGATCTCAATCGCAAAGGGTCATTGATGGCTTGCAGCGACTCGATCCCAACCCATCAACCCATGGCTTGCTTAAGGCCTCAGCCTTAGTCCTGAACTCGGACCAGGGGACCCGGGGTGGCGGCCCAACAGCCACAGCCATTCCGCCAGGTCCTGGGCTTCAAACGCTGTGAATAATTTCCAGGAGGCTGGCTGAGGCCTTGAAGAGCTGAAGTATGGGGCGCTCTCGTGTCGATTGTCGGGGGCATTCGGGGGCGAAAGCAACGACTGCAAAGCCGAGGCTCCTGGATTCTTCTCAGCTGATGTCCCACCACTGGGTTACACAGAGCTACAAAAGAGTGGTTAGAAAATTGCAAACTGATGCCTTCTGGATTCCAGAACCTCTCTCTCCCTCAAAGCCCGACATAAACCCCAGACCCCTAAACAAAGCCACCCAGCACACTGGCCTTGATCTTGGGAGTCTTCCGCCTTAACCCTGTTCGCACGATCCTCGGCGAAGCCGCCGCAGGACTAAGTTAGAAATCTAGACTGTCCTTTGCCATAACAACTGGCGCGAAGGTCTCGATCACTCTTCAGGGGGCACTTCGGGCTTTCAGCAGATATTTGGATGGCTGGGGCTTCAGGGTCCAGGGTTCAAGGTCAGAATGCTCGTGACCAACCGGGCTTTCACACAAATTCCGCCGATGACTCTCGCAGCAAATTGCACATGCAAAGTCATTGGTAACATTCCGCCAATGCATCCTCCTCTTCATCCTTCTTCTCCGATTTCTTCACACCGGTGAAGGCGTCCACCTTTATCTTCTTGGTGTCCTTGGCTGGCTATCAATTACAATAGTTAGTATATATCGTGGTGTCATTAACGATCCTGCATGGCACCTGAGTTGATCTACACCTGACTCCGCATCCAAAGCTTACGTGCTCTGAACATTCCTGAAACAGAAGCCAGGGCACCACCTCGCCCAAGAACGCGGCGGAGTTCTTGCTCTTCTCCGCAATGGCCTGCCAGCAGCTGCTTGGGTGGCCCTCCATTCGGAGGATTCGGCTAGGATGCTGGAGCCAGAAGGAAACCTCCTTCCTCCCGAAGTGGGTCAGGTGGCACATGGCCTCGCCCCTCCCACTCTCCCAAAACCCAGCGGGCCCTGAATAGACTGGAGGGAGAGGCAGAAATTCGAGTTTTGCACTCCCGGCGCCTCGCGCCAGAAGCGTTTGGCCCCACCTTTTCCGACAGCCTTCTCGACTTTCTCAAGACCGAACAGCGTTTTCAGTTGACCCCGGTCATTCTCTGGAAAGACCTCGGCAGCTGCAGAGACGGGAACACGCGAGCATGCAGAGTGTTCATAGCTCAAGGCTTGGGGGGCAATTCGGGCTTGAAGCTTCATACGCTTAGGACTCATGACTCATAAGCTCAGCCGCGTCGTCTTCGAAATGATTGCCCTCCAAGTATGGCGTTGCAGAGACAATCCGAAGCCTGAAGCCCCGATGAAGCCCTCAATCTTTTCTGTCCGGCGAACCCTCTGTGATCCGTGATATGTGGCCCGGCCTGATTGACTCGCATGCACCAAGAAGCTGCTACGACTTCAAAGGCGAAAGAAGGCTGTACCCAACACGTGCTGGAGAAGGACTGTCAAGCACGATCCCATCCAAAAGCCCTTCACTGCACAGCACTTGGTAGCACAGCGGGCTGTAGAGCATGTCTGCATGTTGAGCAAAATCACCCTATCATTGCGGATTAGCTCTAAACGGCCAAGGCTTAAACTAGGGCTTGATAATCAATTGTATAGTAGCCGCAACGCAACAAGATTTCCGAGAAATCCCGCCAGCTGGCTTTGTCCAGCTGCGCCAGCGCTGCAGCAGGTGGGGCGAGGATGGTCTCACCGAGCTCGGCCGAGGCCGGTGGCAGTGGGGTGCCTGGCAAGAAAAGACACTGCTCAAACCCTGACCTTTAAGCTGCTTCTCACCGATAGTGAATGACCTGTCCTAGGTGAAAGTCAGAACATAATCCATGGACTCTAGAATGGCTGGAGGACGCCTGTGGAGGGAGATCATATGGATAATCATCACGCCACTCGGCAGAAGGAACTAGTGCACGCGTGGCATGCCTTCGTGTCTTCCTGTTCGTCTTTACCGAACAAGCTAAAAGCCCTTTCTGATTTAGAGTGCAGCTCGAAGAGGCCATGGGCTAAGCACAACATAACTTACCCCCACTGCCGCAGCACCTGGTTTCACAGCCCGCGATGCCAAGAAATCGTAGAAGCGTGTCAAGGATGGATTGCTTGTCTCCTCTGGCCTCGAAACTACGACCAGGCAAGAGACAACTTGGGATAAGTGTGCCAAAGACCGGTTGAAAGGCTGTGAAGGTGTCGTGGCTGTCGCGAAAGTGAGACATCAATCTAACGCCATCCGCTCATAACAACCTAGAAGAGGCCTGAGCATCTCAGCATCCTTCGAGCATAAGGTTAACCTCAGCTGAAGCCACGAGAAGATTGAAAGCATGTCCTGCCTAAGCTGCTCTGGTAGGGTGTCTTAGTGTTGCTTAAGTCAGCTTCGAGTACACCACAGATCCTGCTATCAGCAAGGCCTTTAACCCCCTCAATCCACCCAAACATCTCGAACGCCCTGGCTGTTTCTGCCAGCCGCCCATCGACAATCTTGGCCATGGCTGCGCGCTGATCACTTGTGGACTCCTCGAAGTTCAGCTTTGGGGGCATGAGGCCTAACTACTGAACCTCACCCGCCCAAAGCCCGCTCTAATCACTGTTTTCAGGATGTTCATTTTTGTCTGCCCTGTCAACTTGTCCCACTGTGAAGCAGTCCGTAAAGGACTCTACATCTGCCATCGTTAGCCTAGGCATTTGGAAGCAAGACGCTGGCAGCGACGCGCAAGTCCAAGGTCCTTGGTCGTCTGTTGAGATGAGGCCACTGACTCATGTTGCGACATGCAAAAGCAGGGTCGCTTGGGTGGATGGGGTGGTGCACTGGCAAAGGGGAGGCAGGAGACATGGGGAGGTGCTGGCACGATTGGCACGCTGTGCCTGTGATCAAACACTTTTTTCCGACCCATCCACCTCCTCTTAAAGTATGTGGCGGTCAATTGAGAAAGAGGTAAAACAAACGGGTTGCGCAGCCGCGGGGATGCAACAAGCAGGCAGCAGGCTGCCATGCATGCACAAAGTATTTTGGTAGCAGCTAGCTGCAGGCAGCAGCTAGCGGCATCTAGCTCGTTGCAATCACACTTAAAGGTTCGATGGTCGAGGAACGGCGAGGAATAGCTCGTGATGTCACGAAGCCGTCATGGTTAATTTATCACACGACTAACGTATCACAAGATTTGCAGGGGATGCGTGACAAGCAAGCTGGATCGATGGGATCGCCGCCGCAAGTCTATCCTTGCATACGGTTTTCGATAAGGCTACCAGCTACGACTCTCCTGCCTACATACTGGATCAACACCAGGCAAGAACCTTCACAAGGCCATGGGCTTCGAAGCTAAACCGGTGGAACTTAATTTCGGCTGAAGTGCGCACATCTTCCTCGAAGGGTAGGAACTGCAGCACCATGTGAGAAGCCGATCCCACGCCTGTGGGTGCTTCCATTTCCGCTCAGGGAATCTCATTTAGGGATACTTATGTAAATGTTTTGCCTTTGAAGACATTTCTTGTTGTTCTTCCGCATAGCAGAGCGAACCACACAAAACATGTGCTTTTGTTTACCAAGGTTTAGGGTTCTGGGACCATCGTGCGGCGTTGCCTGTTTGGTTTAAGTTGTTGTTCCAGGGTTGTGGGACCATCGTGCGGCGTTGCCTGTTTGGTTTAAGTTGTTGTTCCAAACGGTTGTTCTAGATACCTTTCGGAGTTTCTGACAGCCCGCACATGACAAGAAAGAAAGGGTGAGGAAAAAGGCAACGCGAAGAAAGTGACAAGAACTTCGGCTGCAGTAGCATTTACTTGCCGCAAGTCACGGCAGTCTAAGGATCTGTAGGGGTATTATTCGAGGCAGCCCGAACCCTCCAATCCTGCGCCGAGTTTCACTTCTCAATTACCTTCCGATGAAAGCACGTCGGCATAATGGGGACCAGACCGGGGCAACATTTACAAGCATCGCACCCTCTTCCACAGACCTTCTCTAAGGGTTTGCTCACCCCTCCTAAGCAGCGGCGCTCAAGGACAGTCCCCTGGCCTTTCTTTGGAATGAGAGCAACCATGTGGGGCTGCGAGTCTTTCCTGCATATCCCAGGTTCAAAGCATTCAATGTACCCTGAATCTGGCCAGACAGGCCCATGGTGTCCATGTCGACACCCCTCATTCGCATGTATAAGCACAATGAGCAGGTCTAGTCTTGCAAAAACCAAGCGGCACCGACACAAAACAAAGACCAGCAACCCAAGGCCTGATGTCTAAAGCAGCACATCAACACTCCCATCCGCTCCTTGCCCGCGAAATTTAAACACGCCTGACAACCCTGTGTGCGGCTCCTGTACACATACCGAGCAATGAGGACCCGCTGTTCGGCCAACATCGCCTCCATGGGCAAATCAAAACCGAAGTGTGGAGATCCAGCTGGCGACTAAGACAGCCAACGCGACAGCCAACGCTTCCGCCCTGACTGTTTCGTTTGTTCACACAATCCGGACAAGTACATGAATAACAGCACGCAGGCTGCTTGTCCCGGGTTGGAAATCGCAAGCACTTCATCACCGTCTAAGCCGGAAAGCTCTTCTTTGAGAATTCTAGTCTGGATCTCGAGAACTTGAGTTTCAGTCAGCTTCAGTTCCAGAACGGAAGGAATTGCGCTCGCCAGGACAGGCCATCAAACCTTCAACTTTCAACACCACTTCTCGAAGCTGGAACGCACTGAAGCTCTTGGGGCTGCGCAGTGGCCTCGACAAGCGACTCGAAGGCGTAGTGCGCCCAGGCATCGCCCTTGTCAGCTGCCACAGTGTCCACGGTGTGCATGCTGCTTTCCTGAAGGTATCCGCATCAAGCTCAGCAGGAATTGACCACTCCCACTGCCGAGGGCGTTGCAAGGTAAACTGCAAGGAATGCTTAGACAGCATGACTTGCTCTTCTAGTGTTACCATTGTTACCCATGGTTGATGCCAAATCAAGCAGGTCTTGCCGCCCGCACCATTGTCGAGATCCCTCTCTCCCTCTCTGTCTCTCTCTCTCTCTCTCTCGCTCTCCCTCCTTGCCTCCCTCCCTCCCTCTTCTTCTTCTTCTTCTTAGCGAAAGGGCCCCGCTCCTTACCTCTCTCTCGCTCTCTTGCCCTCTCTTTCGGGCACTTTCCACACCATTTCGAAGCTCTGGGCTTCCCACCGGAGTGATGGACGACGCAGCCGCGAAGCCCAGAGTGGTTAGGGTGCGCTCGCACGAGTAGGACCTAAAGTTGGAATAAGACATGCCATGTCCCATGATCACAAATGTTCCTAGCAGACAGTGAGCACCTACTACTACGCATTAGGTTCTGCCCTATTCAACTCTCTGAAAGCCAGTCTTCGCAACAAGAGTTGAAAGCCAATGGGGCATCCAGGTCTGAAATCTTTGGAAGGCAAGTCGACACAACCTAGCTCTGGCTTACAGCCGCCGTGGTGAGCCACACAACAACGGGGTATTGCTCGGGAAATATCCTACAATGGACTTTGCGAGCACGTTTTTCGTGGCCAGCGGTGCCGGAACGGGCGTCAGCGTGACAGTTTTAACATCTTGCGGCATTGGTCATCGAATTGTGCGGCCGAGAGGAAGCGAAAAGGATAGACTTGATCCAGACCTGGACTTTGTACTCGGAAACACATTCCAAAAGCGAAGCGTCTCATCTCCGGCACCAGTGACCACAGTTTGACCATCGGGCGAAATGGCGAGATACAAGACCCTGTATGTGTGGCCTGTGAGAGTCGCGACCTTGGTCATGGAAGGATACTTCCACAAAATGATCTGGTTGAGAGAATAGCCATGCGTGCTCACTATCTCGTTCAGGTTCTTGGACCAAACGAGATTGCACACCTGGGAGCCAGTGTCGATGCAAGACAGGGGCATGTTATTCACCGTGTTCCAGAAGCGGATGCACCTGTCTGCCGTGCCGCCTCCTGAAGCCAGCAGCCCATGCTGGTGTGGGGACCAGGCAATTGCTTTTACGGCTGCCTGATGGCGGTTGAACTTCAGAACGGGCTCCGTGGATTTCAGAGACCAAACGCACAGCTTATTGTCATTTCCGCCAGATGCCAATTGCTGCTCGTCGAAAGACCATTTCAGGCCACAAACCTCCTGTCGGTGGCCGTGAAGCTTGGACATGAACGGTGCTGGTTGGCGGACATCCCTGTGAAGGATGTGGTGATCTCTGCTGCCCGTGGACAAAACAAAGCCATTCCATGCCATTGTTCCGACTCTTCCCAAATGCCCGCTCATTGTTCGCATTTTGCGACACTGCGTGGAGTCCCATATTTGAACTTCGCCTTTGTTGGTTCCAACCGCGAGGTGTGCTCCTCTTTGGGTCCACGAAACCGAGGTCACGGTGTCGTCGGGTCCCAAATCACAAAGCTTGGTCACGCGACTTGTGCAAGCGCTCCATAGATAAACGCAGTTGCTTAAACCCACAGAAAGCACATTAGCAGATGACCAGTCTACCAGGTTTAAGTAGAAGTCGTCTTGGAGCTGAGGGGCGTCTAATACCTTGAAAGGCACTTTTGCAATCTTTCTTGGCGCCTTCCGAGGAGTACTAAGCAAGCGGCTGCTCTGAAATGAAACCGGTGACAGGGAAAAGGCATCCTCCTGGGTGGCCTGCACGCAGTTTTTGTACTTGAAGAGACTCTTGCTGTCTGGAGACCTGAATGGCTTCTCTTCTTTCTCCACATCGCCAGTGTGGATCCCCAACAGCTCACTCCGGAGCAGCTGCGCATAGACAGAGCTGTTGTCATCACGGGTCTCCGGTCTCGAGCTCTCTGACAGGAGCGTGAGTCCATTTTCAAGGTCCGAAGCCGCCCTGCTCGGAATGAAGCGGTCGCTCTCAGCTCCCTGATGCCAGTGTGTCACATGCTCAGGCTCCCCAGATGTCCAGGCATCCCGTATCGGTGATCGCGGCCCGTAGTCATAGGCCTTGCATGAGGCTGCCTCATCCATTTGATGCACGCGTGGCCGGAACCATAAGATTCAGAAGAAAAAGAAGCAACCTAATGTGACTTTACAGCGCCACTGGCTGATAAGGGGAAACTACCTTCGCCTTGCCTAGCGGGGGTCAGTTGAAGTTCTGCTAGTTCAGCCTCGCGGAGAGGCGTTGTGCCTTAAAGCAGTTCATGAAGCTCGAGGCTTCCTGATGCTCCTCGAGCCAGAACGGTTTGGGCAAAACAACTCGGGCGCTTTTGGAAGGAAGGGTGTAGGGATTTCAATCCCAGTGTGGCCTCAATTTTTCCTTAGAATCCAAGCAGTGGATCCTCAAGTCGAAGCCTCTGACTTGAACCAAGCAACGCAACATTTTTGAAAGTGACGTTCCTGGAGGGATAGTCATCCAATGACCCGTGCCCGCAAAACTGAAACCTGCAGCTACCAATCCGAGAAACTGTTTGAGACCTGATTTGTCATCCTGGGTTTGAGCTTAGGCATAAGGCTTTATCTTGAAAAAGCTTCAACTTTTGGCGTGGCTGTCCTTAAGCATCAATTGAAGCCTTGTTCTGGAGCCCGAAGCCATTACCCCACGGCTTGTGGAGAGCACAACTTAAGACTCCAAGTTCCCTAAGCCTTCCTTTGCCTCCGAGAGGCAAAGCCGCCTCATCGTACTCAGACATGGGGACGATGTTCTGCCCGTATTTGTAGCCTTTCCTCAGCCATGGCCAACTTTAAGGCAGATCTTCCTCAGACCTCGGGGGGAACAACAATGAATCAATCATCCAAGGATCACTCGGTCCTCCTTCTTGACCTCCTCTCCTTCCTTGTCATCGGTCCTGAGAACGCAACATCATGCCCACATGCTCTGCTGCAGCGCTGACAGCCGCAAGCGCAGCAAGCGCCCCCAAAAGGATCCACCAGGAGGCAGGCTAAGACTCGGCTAAAACGCCTTCATAGCCCTAAGCCCAATAATCCCCAGACCGTTCCCCCGAAGACGATCAGGAACTGCCCGCCCCTTGCTGCAAAACCAGCTTCGCATAGTAGGTCCGGTCCATGATGACCTTGTCCTGAATGCAAGCAAGTCAGGACTGTAGGGTCCTTCTTGGTGGCTTGTGTCAATGAGTCAAACTCCACGAGTCGAGAATGCCAACGGGCTTCCGTCTTCCGGCTCTCCTCTGGGATGGCCTTAGCTTGCTGCGGTATGACGCAGTGTCACAGGATGATGAAACGCTCTTAGGGGTTAGGATCTACTTGGGTTGAGGATTCAAGGATTATAGGCCTGCTGCAGTTTCGGCGGGCGTGCCCGCAGACTTGTTCTGCTAGTCGAGTGCGCACTCAAGCTTGGCTGTAGACTTTCCATGAATTTGTAATTACTTCGGCATCTTGCCGCTCATCAAAGCCCGCGGACACGCAGAGACCGAGAGACAGAGACACACACTCACGCAAAGAGCCCACACACACTTAGACACAGGGATGCACAGAGACACACTGAGACACACAGAGATGCACAGACGCACAGACACACAGATGCACACACACAGACACAGACACAGACACAGACACAGACACAGACACAGACACAGACGGAGACGGAGACCCACACGCACGCGCACGCGCACAGAGACACAGAGACACAGAGACTCGCAGATTCACAAACACACCCACAGACAGACAGACAGACAGACAGACAGACAGACAGACAGACAGACACACACACACACAGAGACACAGAAAGATGGAGAGAGAGAGAGAGAGAGACACACACACACACACACACCAACGCACTAACACTGACGCTAAATTCAGCTCTTGAACCCTACAGAAGACGCATCCTGCGTTTCGTTTCGGCTCACCAGGGTGCTGCCGCCATCTTCGACTGCTTCTTGAGCTGTGGGAAGCTCACTCCTCGGCTCGCCCCAGGCAGCACGGTGACGATCCAAGAGCTCTTGCTCCGACAAATAGAAAAGTCTCGGCTGGTCTGAAGGTGAATTTGCGGCGGAGTCTGATGTTTGCGTGGATGGCATGCTTCCGACGAGTATCATTTCGGGGCAGCAGCAACCGATTTTACGGCCAATATAGCCAGTCGAGCTGAATCCGGCAATAACCTGATTTAATTGCTCGTCTTGGGTGACTTTTCTTGTGATACGAGTTCTTTACCTACTAGTCGAACCCCCTGAGAGACAAGGAGCGCGTGGTTCGAGAGTAGATCCCAACCGGGATCTCCATGTCGGGTGATACCGTCAGTGGCAGCCGCACCTGAACCCAACACCCTATGTTCTCGAAGGCGCCCGCTGAGGCTTGCTAACTGCTCTTTTGCGACGCATGCGCTCGAGCGAGTCTTTTTCTTTTGCTCGAAGGTGGTCGAAAAATTCACCGCATCCGTCGAATCAAGCTCAAAAAAATTGACGATCGGCAGCTCCGGCTTGCCGATGTGCTCCTTGTTGGATTGGAGCCCCAAGCTTCTTTTCGGGGAGTTAGGTCAACTTCAGGGACTGGACGATGCCGTCCAAGAAGGCCTTGTCCGCTGGCCCCTCACAGGCAGGAAAGACTTAAGGCACTTCGGCACATGAACCAAGGGGAGCAGTCTCCAGCTTCAGTGTACTTACACCTTTCACACCCGAGCAAATAGCAAATGTCTTGTTGGGCACAATCCCGCCTGAAAATCAGGCCGAACATGCTTCTCTGTTGCGCTCAAGTAGGCTGCTACGATGATGCCCTGGCTCCTTAGTCAAGTTCACAGCCTTGCAGCATATGCGAAAGATGGGAAAGCAGGGGCCACGAAGCACTCCTCACACAACATGCAGGACCAGCAGATCCAGTTTGGTCAGCTGCCTGCTCAATATTTTTCTGAGCATAACTGTACTTGTCTAGCATCCTCGGTGCGCATTGTTGGATATTGCTAGTCTTCGCTGTTCATGGGTTGTCGTCAGAGAACTCTGTCTTAACGCAGAAAGTCATGATTTCGAAAATGTGTTTACAGCAGCGGCATGCCGTCGCATGTTTAGAACCTCGCTTGTGCCGTTCTGCTCTCCGTTCAGCCTACCACTGCGTTTGCAGCCGAAGTTCATGTCGCGAGGGAATGCAGCAGCTTTGTTTGTTTGTGGTTCTGGGCCGTGGCACATCACACCCTCTCCGATCTCCTCCATTCAGGGCAACAGCATCGGCAGAGGCATCTGGCATGAGGTTTGCAATAAGATTTGTGGCCCAAGCAGGCTGATGCAACAGGGTTTTGTGCCTGGCTGGGGGAAACACAACATACTTTTCACTGCGAGCCTTGCGAGCTTTCGGGCTCCCCTGCTACATCTTAAACTGATAATTCTCTCTCGACAAGCTCGAGGCTCGATGGATGCAGCCTGGTTCTATTTGTTGCTCCTTGTGGCAGGGTGTAAAGCAACGGCAAGCCGAAGCTTGTTTTAGGTAGGACGCACTCTCGTGCGCCCTGCGTTTCCTGGGGTTTTCTTGGGAGTGGGGGGGGGGGGGGGGGTTGCGAATAACCATGTTGGGAATATCCATGGCACTTGCTGGGGTGGGTGGTGGGTGGGTGGGGGTACATAACGACAGGCCGAACCATATCCCCGCCAAAAAAAAAACGGCCCCAAGCATCCGAAAAATCATTTTTTTGCTCAAAGACCAAGCCCAAGCATGTCCAAAGCCCAAACATCCGGCAATGCTCCTGCCTAAACCTTCAAGCCCCAGCATCCCCAAAGCAGTCCAAGCCCAAACCTTCCCAAAGCCTCTCTTGCCTAAACCTTAAAGCCCAAGCATCCCCGAAAGCAGTCTGAGGTTCGGGGCCCGACACATGCCAGCCCCAACAAGTACCCTTAAACATAGACTCAAAACATAGTATGCGCAACTTTTGGGTTTTCGTGCCTTTCCAAACTAACAAGGCTCCCGCCTAGGCGAAACACTCAAATTCACTAAAAAGCGCCCGCCCTTGTGCTCTGTCTTCCTGGTTCCAGAACAGAAATGAGTCTAAAGATCTAGGCTTTTTGCACTTTCGAACTTGAGCACGCCCAACGCATGCCAACAAAACGCAGGGCACTCCAGAGCGCGTCCTACCTTGTTTTGGCACTTAACCCTGGCATCCCTGGCTCACCAAAACCCTGAACCCTTTTTGAACGGTAAACCCTTTACACGTCCTAACCTAAGATTTCGAAGCTTTGCTGTCGCCGCCAAGGGTCAGTATTGCCTTTGCGGACCAGTATCTGTCCTGCGCCCGAACTCCGCTCATCGACGTCTTGCTCGCAGCTTCCGCGTTGAGGAACTTCGTCAGCCCCTTGCCCCAGAATGCACTAGACCCTACATGCATCTGAAGTCCCATGGCCCGAATGTACCTTAAGAGCTGCTGTCGAACAGCGAGCCGAATCCTCATCGCGATGTTGCAGCCAAGTTGCACGAAAAGACAGCACTGACGCTGCGCCCTCATCGGTGATATCCTAAGACTGCTTTGGATAGAGAGGTGAGTTGAGAGACTGACGAGACTGTCGAGTCACCCAAGCCGCAAGCTTCGACCATGGCCCACTTGGACTCCCAGCGCAAAGAGCGGCCAGTAACTCTAAGACTTTCAGAAAGTGCAAGAGCCCCCGCATTCTAGCCCACACTCCAACTCGGCACGTTCTGGGAGAATCCTGTGTCTGGCTCTTCCAAGCACCTCTTAAGCCCTTGTGGTGATGTCTGCACCTCACGAGGCTGAAGGTGGGTGCTATTAGTTCTAAGACAGATACTTATATAATGTACTTAGCAGAGCGGCAAGATCGGTGACAGCCGAAGCCGATTGGAGGCTCTCACTGCTGGCATTAAACACAGATCCACCTGCCATGGGCAGTGGACGAGGGCCTTGCTTTCCATGTTGTTCTGTTTCTATGGTATTCCTTTGTTTCTTTGGCTCTCTAGAAGTTTTTGGCGGTTCGTAGCTAATCCACATCTTCAAGAGGACCACCGCAAGAAGAATGAAGCACCGAAGCTAGGAACTTGAACAACGGACACAAGTCTCGCACCGTCTGAAAACAGCCTGCAATGGCTTGCTCCATCGCTTGGAGCGTCTGGAAGGTTTTTGTGTTGGGCGTCAAGAAAGGCCTCGGCTTCTTGTGAAACACCTCACATTAACTTAGGCATGCAAGCAGCACCTGTATGACAAACAGCCCGACAACCCCTGGCCCCTGTCAGCAAAAGCCCGACCCATGACACGTCCTTCTTTGATCGCAGGCATTGCTTCGCGAAACAAAAAAACCTACATTTTCTGATGTTCACAAAGAACCACACAAGCTCTTGCACCCAAGAAAAACACGTTTCTAGCACAGGGCTCGGTTGCACAATGCTTGAAGAATGCCCCCCTGTGAACGACCCAGTGTGGCTGAAGATTTACAAGCCATTCAGTCAGGCTTCGGTGTAGGACATGTAGATAACTGCGGGGCCACCAAAGTGGCCACCAAGGTTCAGACTGAGTGCAAACCCTGATTGAACGTCGACTCCTCAAACGCAACTCAAAACTTGAAAACATCAAGCCTCAACCCAAAAGCCGAAACTCTCAATTTGCCGATGCCCAAGGTGCTGCGCCAACTGAAGGGCCAGCTGCTCCTTCGTCAGCGGCGGCTGGATCACCTACGAGAACATGACGGAGGTGATCCCATGCAGAGTGTTCACAGTGTCGGGCTACTCATGTACTTCGCCTGCACACAGCTTGCGCAGCATTCTCAGAGCACACAAACTCTAGGGTTCAGGGAGGGAGCCCCATGCGGCTTATGGACATGACCGGCATGGCGTTTGAGCACGTGGACATACACGACAACCCCTGGGTTTCAAGGAGCCTCCAGCCAGGAGCTCGTCGTGGGGTTCTGCACTGATGCAGAGACGCGCTCAGCAAGCCTTGGTGGAGCTTTTGGGACTCTTGGCACGCGAGCTATTGTCGTAGAGGAAACGCACAATGTGACATGCAACCGGCATGCGCCGTTTGGAGAATGCAAGACGGAGGGGGTGGTAAAACACGCTGCAACCAACATGTTAGGGGCTTCCTGTGTGAAATCGAATGACGGATTCGGCAGCACATGCAAAAAGCAAGTCGCAACCGGCACGCGCAGGGTTTCCTGTGGGAAAGTGCACGCTGGAGGCACCCATAATCACCCATACGTGGAAACCTCAGCCCTGCGGTAAACCCCCGCCTCCCATTTTCAAAGCTCTCGCGTCATCTCAGTTCTTCCCCTGGTCTCCGCCGTCGTGGCACACACATCTCATTGTCCACAACGCCAATGCTCAAACCAAAGTTATCCCAGTCGCTCGGAGACCTGGAGCCTCTCGGCCTGGGAGGGGCTTAGCACAGTGGATACAGGGTGCATATGCTTTTTGCTGCAAGTAGAGCTTGGGCTGGTCAGCTGGGCGAAGCGCGCTGGGATGTTTGCAAAAAAGCCCTCACCTCAAACTTTCATGCTCATTAGTCACAAGAGCATGAGCGTGGGCTTCAGCTTGCACTAGCTACAGTGCGAATCTGCAGCTCTACTCCTCTTGCTGCCTCCAGGGTGGCAGCGTCCTCGAATCCTGGCGAGAGAAAGCGGAGGGCAGAAAGCGCGTATTCGCTGGAGTCGACCTGGGCTGAGAAATCTTGATCTTCCATGCTCAAGATGCTCCGGGCTGCTTTGCTGTGATAGCTGGGCTAAGACTGGGGACATGCCCAACCCCACGTGCAAAACCAGTTCCCCATGGATCCGGGTATCGATGGAACCATGAACCATGCTGTCTTCTGGGCCCGCCCGAAAGATCCCGAAACCGCATGGCGTGAATCTTGCCATATCTCAGGCAAGGGTTGTTTAGACCTTGATTCCTAGTCCGAGTTCGCGTCCCAGAACTTGCTTAGCATCTACTTCGCTGGAATGCTTGCAGCATGGAGTCAAAACCTCCGGAAAAGCATCTCCAGAGAGAGCCAACTGTCCATCCTGAAACCTTTCGAACCAGAACATCCCGCAATGAACTCGGCAGGGTTATAGGGTTGTCTGGGGGGTTGAAGGCTTTCTGGATTTTTCTGGGAATCTCGGAGAAACCTTTGGGTGCCGCAGCCTCCCGAAGATCTCCCCACAAGCTCAAAGTCGCCCTTGAGGAACCAGATGCCAAACTCGATACCGGAGTGGGCGCCCCCATACTCAACTAAGGTATGTTCCTTGCGAACATGGCGCCTTGGGGTTCCACGACTTGGGCACCGTCATTTCCAATCCTCGAGAATGGCATTGGGCTTTGGTGCGGATTTCTTGATCTTTAGGAATTGGGTTAAAGGCCTTGGGGGTAGGGTAGGGTCTTCTGGTGTGCAGCCCATGTTGAAGTTGCTGCAGCATCACTACGTCCTTTGGGGGGGGGGAAATCCCCTCCGCCCCTTTGAAATGTTTTGGATGGGGGGGGTTCCCGACATCGCTTGAAACTTCAGAGGGGGGGTTTCAAAAGGTACATAGGGCATCGTTTGCAGAGCGACAGGCGCATTACCAAGCAGCATGGCAGCACGCGAAACTCTCCCCCAAATTCACATCGAGCCCGCCCCGGTAACCAAAACATTGCCGGGGCTGACCACTAGGACCGCGGGTCTGCCCCTAAAGCCCCCCAACTTCGATGATGATCAGCCCCGGTAACTAAATCATTAACGGGGCTGGTCAGCCCGCCGCGGCATGCGCAACCCTTTCCCCCAGAACCTGCGCCGAGGTATTTAGGGATGACCTTTGTTGTGCATGTACACGAAGTTTGTTCACGTCGCACCAGAATCGTTGCCTCGGAGGGAGTTGCAGTTCTTGCGGGACGTGCACCGACAAAACGCTGCCGCCCTTGCGAGTGTACTTTAGTATCGCCAGTCCGAACGGCTGGGGAGCCTGCATGGGCTTTCACAGGCCCTTCGGAAACACAGCACGGAACAAAGACAAAGCAAAGCAAGGAAAGCTGGAAGTGAGGAGCACGGCAATGGGGACGAACCAGTGGGGGAGCACGCAGACTGTTGCCTGCAAGCGAGAACAGAAAGACATTGGCGTGCTCTCATGCTGCTTGGTAATGCACCTAATGAACCTCCAGCATCAGCCAAGCAGCTGAGCTTGAAATATTTTAACATGCTCTTGACATCCCAATGAGATTCAATTCCGACCCTGACCCTGAAATTTTTGCCCCGTAGGACATCCAGCTGCTGATAATGGAGCAATACGCGCTAACCTGTGACGCCCCGCCCCCCCCCCCCCCAAATTATTTCAAGGGGGGAGTGCTGCTGTAGCTCAGTCTCCGCCCTGCCGGCTACGAACGGTGAGCAGCTCCTGCAAGGGGGTGACGGGCAGCAGGGGGTGCAAGGACATGCAAACAGCAGGAGACAAAGCAATCTCACAAACACCACGCTGGGGTAGCACCAGCCAACAAGCCTGCAGAATCTGACATTACTAAGCAGTAACATTTCAGTCTGAGGACCCCTAGACCCGGCAAACATGGGCTCTTGACGTGCTGGCCATGACCCCCACCCTCAACCCACCCAAGCAGCCCGTCCTCAGTGCTCGCCACACAGGCCGAGGGCCAAGTGATGGCCGCCGCAAGGCCCATCCGCCGGAGCTCAGCACGCGGAACAGCGAAGGTATGCAGGAGGCAGCCTGAATCATTCTCTGGTTGAAGGAAGCAAAAGCATGGCAACCGTGTGACCTGTTTTCAGTTTTGTCACATATCCAACCCCGAGGGGATAACTGTGCTTTTGTTGAGGAACTCAGGATGGAGGGGGTTTGTGCGAGCTGGCGAACTGTGGGGTTGTTGGGTGTTCCATAGGGTGCCGGAACCCAATGGTGCCATTCCGCGAAGGGTTCTGGTTTTCGCACATTTTCTTATTGCTGGATCCATAGTGACTTGCGGCATACGCTGATAGCCCTAAAACCCTTTTATGGTCAGAAGTGCGCTGTGATTCGGCACTGGTCTGCTCAAGCCTGAGAGCTTGAATCCGGTCACGTCTTGCGGCATTGAACTTGCTGGAGGCGCTTAGATCACACGTTGATACAATACCAGATACATCCCACACTCAGAGACCTGCTCCGGGATTCGGGATTGGGGGGGGCACTTGAAAGACGGACATCCAACGGAACTCCCTTCAACACATTCTCTCATGCACCAGCATTACATGCACCCTGGTCCGCAGCAAGAAAAATGCCCGGCGAAAATCGGTGCTCCCAATCGCCCCTGTTCCAGCACGACCTGCACTGCACGCACACACCAGCGCAAATGCTCGCCGGAGCCGGCGCATGGCCATGCAACTGACCCGAAGGTCCCCCCCCATAGCTGCCATGGCTGAGAGTCTGAGCCCTAGAATTTGCCTGGAACTCCGAACCGCATATAATTTGTAGGGTCACAACCTGAGCGCCAAGCATCGGGTCTGATGACTTGCTTTCAATACTGATAAAGACTGCTCTTCTTTGCTCAAGTCAGGAGTCTGAAAGGTAAACAGTGGCAAATACACGACAGCCTATTTGGGCTTACTTGGCTCAGGCCAGATACAGCTGCCGGAAACGCATGTCCAACCTGCCTGTCATGAAGCCCGGGCGTAGCTGCAGACACTAGAGGCGACCAGAAGTTCAAAACAGCAAATGCCGCAAAACTGCCCTGCCTTTCAGACTTTCAGAGCCTGAAACTCATGCTAATCGGCTCAGAACAGTTCACCACCTGTCTTGATCCGCAGCTGGTCATCGGGAAGTTTACGCCCAAACTTGCAATGGCGCCTTGGCTCTCTGCTCCACGGGCTTTACAAACCTCAGGTAGATCATCCGACTGTCACACTCCCATGGGTAAGTCTGGCTGCTGAAGGCTTAGAGCTTGGGGCTTCTGAGCACTTCTAATCGAAGTGTCTTCAATTTAACGTACTATAAAACCTTATCACATCACAAGGAGCCCTTCCTGTTTTGAACTCTTCCTCTTTTGAACTCATTGAACTCCCAAAGGTTTCTAAAGTTGACCCCTTCGATCGCTGCCAGAGACGCAGCCGGGTCTGAAGAAGGAGCTCTGGTATAGGCACCAGCCGCACTTTTGTGCTGCTACCTGCGGTGTTCCACGCGAATAGCATCTGCTTGCTATTGCTTGCTCTGCTGTCCTAAAGAGCTGTGCCGTAACGATACTTTACGATCCGAAATACTCCGAAATCGTGCTAGAGGCCGTGAACAGCCCTGGGCTTGCCTGCAACAACAGCGAGAGCCACCCAAAAAGCCACAAGCCACGTCAGGCCCGCGAATCCTATAATCAACCTGAAGCCCGATGACCTTGCAAGCCTGACCACGCAAACCCCTAAACATCAAGTTTCAAACACCCCGAACTTCCCTCAGCCTTAAACTTTCTGTCAGGTGACAAGCCAGGGCTTCCCAGGGCCCGGCCCCCTCCCCGACCAAGGTTACCAGAAGCTGCGTGCTGGTGGCCTGCACGTTTCCACATGCTTTCTGGTTGATTCGTTGACCGAAATACTGGCACCCGTTTAGGCCCTCATTTCGAACTGTATATGGCCTGTATAGATTCTTAGAAGCCTGCAGGGGGTGTGGTGCAGGGGTTTTGCTCGGATGGGCTTGCAGGTGCAGGCATTCCGGGTTGACACACTTCCGTTCTTGGCTTTGTTCGCATGATTGCACGGAATGATGGTAGGCACTGGTCGAACACGGGAGGGGTTTGCAATGGGAGCATGCCTACAACAATGCACGTCTGCTGCGGTTTGAGTCTTCTAGTGCCCTTCGAAGGCTGCCGTGCGCCGATCGGACAGCAATTGGCAAGACCATGCTTAACCAGTAACAACCCTGGCCAAGCTTCTCAGCTCTCAAAACACAATGACAAACGAACGAGACAAACTCCAAACACCGACGATACAAGAGAAAGGCTGCCTCCAGCTGCTTTGTACCTTGCCAGCCATCATCATGCAGGATGGTTTCGGGCAAATGTGGCGGCGCTACAAGGTGTGCTCAGATATTGTCTCAGTGTGGATGCTGCCCGTTCTGATCCTGTTTGCAGCAGCCTCCTTTCTCACAGCTGCCTAGTGCTGCATAGGCGCATTCGAGGAGGTCCGGATCACCAAACTGAGCCGAGGACCTAAACGCAGTACTGACAGTGGTTTCCGCCAGGACCAGATTCAAGCACACCCTGAATCAAGGGTATCACAAAGCACCTAAGCCTGACAGCAGATCTGCCGTTGCCTGCCAAGAGGCCCGTGCGTGATCAGGACAATGGATTTCTCGTATTTCAAATCCTTGGTACCCAAGCATCATTTCTGCCTGTTTCTCCAAGCCCTTTTGGGAGTGTCCGATGTGGTTAGACATGAATACATGTAATGAGCAGTTGCAGCTGGCCAAGGCGAGGGGAGCCGCCCACACGTGCAAGCAAACTCCCGAAGAACCTCCCACCCCCCCCCCCCCCCCCGAGGATCCCGAAGGCGGCCTTTGTCCGTTTGATCATCAGGTCCAGCGCTACGATGAGGGCGTTTACAGAATCGGAGCCTTTTCCGCCAGGAGGTGCGTTGGACCTAAGACGTTGGAACTTGAGTTTTGCGATTCGTGGGCTTGGGGATTCTGATTCCGTGCTTTTGTCCGGACTCACGAAGAAACATTGCGAAGGAGAATGACCAACCAGCGCCCTCCATGGCAACAAAAGGACCTGGGCTGCAGACACGCCGGTAAGCGCGTCCACATACGGCACGTCGATTTTGCGATCTCTGCAGACATAGACGTTGGCATAGCCATCGTCCTTCACCCCCATTGCTGATGTGTGTTTCTGCTGGCGTTTGCAGGGAACAACGGCGCAGGTGCTTCGAAAATTCGAAGCCTTTCTGTGCCAAACCGCCCAGAAAGAAACGATACATCCAACTGACTTACATGCAAATCCCCATAACAGCACTCCAATTTAGCCCTGCTTGTGCCAGGGCTGGTTCGGAGGGCTTTTGAAGTTTGTAGGGCAAACAGCAGTCCCCTGCGGCCTTAACCAGGCCAGGCCCTAACGTCCTAACGTTTGCTGTAATTATTAATGCTGCTTCCCATCCGAGGTTTCAGTCATTTTGAGGGGTCTTGGATCAAGCGGTCGAGCCACGCGACCGAGGTCAGGCCTTCATTCTCCACTTTTTGCGGGAGAAAAAAAACTCACAAACCTCAAGCTGCAATCTTCAGCTACCACAGACCCTCAGCCATTAGAAGTCTTTGGCTTATATGTTGAGTGAGCTCTTCAAGCATCCCGTCCTGCAGATCGTTGTTGGTGTCGGAGGTTCCGAAGAAAACGACGCCAACCTGGAAATTGCCGAGCCCTCCCGGTTTCTCAGCTGGAGATGGGTGATGGACTGGGTGAACCTTAGCCTCCCTGGCTTCAGGTCATTTCTGCCCCCAGAAGTCAAGCAATCGCATCGACGACTTCCGAGGCCCTCCCTCGACAAAAGAACACGCATGCGCAACCCCTCGGATGGCCTCATGCTTGGGAGCGAAGAAGAGGCGATGCTGCACAAGTTTTGAGGCTATGCCGACCTTGGCCGCATGCTCTCTGAAGCCCCTCTAAGGCCGCTGTTTCGGTGCCGGCAAATGACCCGACTAGAACGACTAGAAGATATGTGTTCCAAAGCTATCCCCGAAAAACCTTTACCTTCTCCAAGGTGGGCTCTTGAGACTGTCGCTGTACGTCGCTGTGTCGCCGTGTGTCAGTGGTTGCGTGGGCATGTCCTCGAACATCTTTTTGCTGCCCAGGAGCGGCTGTCTGTGCGCGAGTCACCTGCTCTTGCAGGGTGAAATGGGAGAATCAATGACAGCCCCCTCATGGCTTCTCGTTAGTTACTCCGCGACAAGGGAAACTCTTTCGGACGGCGGGCTGATTCGCAGGAACCCATGGTTCCGCATCGTGCATTTTACGAATACATTTTCCTCACTGCTTTAGGTTTCACTTCTCCCTTGAGGAGTACTTCGAAAGTCCAAACATGACCCCCTTCTGACCATTCTATCCCCTGGTCAGGGACCCACCTTGTTACCGTCGCTTGCTTCAGCGAAGGTCGCTTGCATCGACTCGCCGACATCAACCACAAAAACCTTTCGAGCTTGGAAAATCTAAACGTTTCCACTCACATGGCTCGTTTTCCTCCTGCACCGCAGTTGTGTGCATGTCTGTGCTTTACAGGTATAGAGTATACAGGTAGCCAGATACGCACATACGCAAACAGATTCAGCAATTGACATGCTACTGGTCTTTCACCCGCAAACAGCTTCAGCAATTCTGACATGCTTCTGGTCTTTCACCATCTAGCCGACACTGCACCAAAATAAAACTCTGCTCGAGTCGCTGAACCTTGTGCACTTCCACCCCCACAACCCCCCCCCCCCCGCCCATGCTCCCTTCCAAGAGGCTGTGGCTTCTCTGGCTTTCCCAGCCATGGCGATGGGGAGTTCCCCAGGCGGGAGGGAGCACGAGGACCAGGTAGGAATGAGCAAGGATTAGTGCTAAGGGTTGTAAAGGGCTTCCACCCTGGTATGGGGTTCAGGGTTTAGATGGCATTCAGCAAAACTCCGCACACAGCGGGTAAGGGGATCTGGGCTTCGGGTTTGGTATGGTTTGGGCTGATGATCTGGTATGAGCAATATCAGCACTACTTGAAGACCCTAACCACCCTAACCCGGCCCAAGCAGAGGCCCAGTCTTGCACTGGACTTGCTTGTCTCGTCTCGGCCAGCACGAGCCCAGCTTCCGTCACAGAATTTGTCACAACTTGGCGATCCTCCCTGGTCCCCACACGCAGCCAAGAAGACTCCGAACACCGCAGAAGGCAAGCGGCCCATGTCCCTTCACAACTTTTGAGGATGATCGAGGGGTGCGTGATTGGCGAACCAAGCCAAGCCCTACAATTATCATGAAGGCATCAAAGCAAGACATGAGGGATCAGTGTAATTAGTGACAGCAGCACTTCGACTTGCATGTGTGACCATCTGCTGGGAACATGAAGACCGACGGTGGAAGCTTTGCAGCAAAGTCAAGAAGTCAGAGGACATTCAAGGATCTAGGTGCAAGCTCAGAAGCAAAGTTGCGGCGAAGACCCCCGTCCTCTTCCGTTTGCTTCTCCTGCAAAGCCCACATGGCCTGGCTCCAGGGCAGGTTGCCGTGTCACCAGTGAAAAACGCGCCCAGACCTCAACCACCCCATGCGAGGAGTCCTGTTCCTCGGCAGTCCCTATGTTGCTGGCTTTTGGAACCCGATTGAAATCCCTAAACCATCCTGGTCCTGAGCTTGGAACTTGAAAATCATGACGCTTCCTTTTGCAGAGGAAAGCCGAGGCAGAGCCCACGGCGCTGATCCGGCGATATCCGGCGGCGATTTTGCACTGTCTCTTCAGCTGGTGGAGGGACTGGATCATGCTCTGCGCACGCAGTATGAGCCCGGAGCTGAGCATGCCCGCCGCCCACCTCCCCCACCCCCCCAACCCACAAAAAAGGAGGTCGGTCAAGAAGCTGGTAGGCCTTACCCGACCCAGTCCCTCCACGAAATGAAGCACGTCCGGCTCATGTCACCGGTATCTGTAGCCATATTGGAGCATCCACTGGAACTGCATCCACCTGTGTAAAGGGGGGGCTAGAGTGGCTGGAGTTTATGGCAGAGTTTGGTCCTCAAGTGTCTTGTCTGCAGGTCAGCCTCAGGTTTGGACTCAATTCCGCGTGATGGATGCAATGGTTGCCTAGCCTCTCAAGCGGTCTTGTGCGGGCGCACTGCAGGCCCTGAGGACTCTGTTCCTTGTACTGGCCGCCTCTACAGTTACCGAACTCAGGAGTCTCCTGCAGTTGCCCGATGAGGGTCTAAGGCACTAAGGCACTAAGGCCAAAACTCGCACAGCTCTTTCGGCTGTGGACAGATGGCAAAAACAAGCAAAAATGCAGGGAAAGGAGGCCATGCCCGAAGCCTTCCCGCGGAAATGAATTCTGCCACTCAAGGTCTGTACACGAGCAGCCTCGACAAAAGACCCCTTCCCTTGTCCCTAGCCCTACAGCCTACACTACAAGGTCCGTCATGTCGAATCTACAGCAGCAGTACTTACGTCAGCGAGGCAAAGAGAGTCCCGGAGCATGTTCCTCAAGCCTTGAGAAGCACGCTAGCCGCTAGCGACACGTGTGGTCGAACTCCCGTTCTGGCTAAACCCTATTGAACCTATTGGTTCAACTGGAAAGAACTGGGCGCTCCTCAAAACTAGGGCTTTTTGATCAGGGCGGTGAGAACTTTCCGGAATGCGCCCCTTAGGAAAGCCCTAATTTTGCTGAACTCGCACGTAGCTTGGAACGGCACCAAGAAGGGCCCTCACTGGGCCCGCCCCAGCTTGGCCACCAAGGAAATGATGCAGGGCAGTTTAGGGCGTCATGGACAACACCAAAGCGGTCACAGGATTTGACTTGGAACTCTGAAGAACGTGCTCCCCGGAAAACTTGGCTTCGCTTGAAGCTCTTCATTTCCACTGCCCATTGGATCCTCCAGGGTGTGCTGGGTGATTTCAAGGATGAAGTCTCAGGTGTTCTGCCTTATGGGGGAACACTGCCATCAATTTAAAAGCTACGGAGAGGATGCATCTTGCTGACACTTTGCAGGCTGTTTGGCTTCAACGTTTGCAATGCATCCTTTGCTGACCGAAGCAGCCTTGCCATCTCTTTCAACTCCAGTTCTACATTTCGACAGTTAAAGATCACTGAGTTCGGAGCCATGCAGAAATGACATAACAGCCTAAAAAACGACACGGACCCTAGTGGTAACCCAGGTAAAAGCAGCACCGTCGACGCACACTTGATCTGATCTCACTCGAAATCAAGAACACACCTTTTCACGGGTGGCACAGGAGTCTTACATAGTCTTACGACATGGCTGGAGACCATGGTCATGCTGGATATTCTTGCCGCGTCCTCACCACAACAACGATTCTACAGAGAGGAAATTACTCAACTGGACCCCACCTCATGAGCAAAATTCGGGCGAATCGGCCACAGCTTCACCGTTCCACGCGGTCGCCACCGCTGTCGCCCGCTTGCCCAGCTGCGGCTTCGACTGCAACGAAACAGAACTTTATACAATACAGATAATAGTTCTGTGTCCCATGTCGGTAGCCACCCCCCTACTCCTGAAAAGGTTCCAAATGGGGTCGGAGCATAGGGAGAAGAGGGGTTTGCAACCCTCCAATACCTTGTCTCAATCCATCCATCACTTAGACGAGTAAAGCACTAGGACAGTCAACGGCCCAAGAACGAGAAGACTCCAAGTACATTCAAATCGCAATCCTCTTCCACAAAAGGATTTGGTCTTTGGGCTGCTTTGCCTCTCAGGGGTGTACAGGCCCAATCCGAAAGTGAGAGCAGGGCAGTGTGGGTTTTGTAGCTGTAGGGCTTGGTCTGGGGTTCACCTTGCCTTCGCGCAGTCTTCGAGCTGTTCGACGATTTGCGTTCTAGGGCTGACCTAGGGACCTAGTACAAAACTGTGTTGTAAACGCAGTATGCTTATGCTGATGAGGGTCCCTTTTTCGGAGGTCCTTCTGACACTGCAAGGGAATGTAACAGTAGTAGGTACATATAAGGGGACCTTGTTGTCGAACAACTCCAACCCATGGTGAATATGTTTGTGTTTGGGTCTTCGCACGCAGAACTTCCCTGGCCCTCCCGTGTGGCCAGGGGCGGCCTGGAACCACGGCAAGTCCGCACTCAAGCCTGGCTTGCCCGCAAAAACGCACAGCTCAGGAATGCTCAGGCTTTCGTTCACGCCTCTGGGGGGGCTTGCTCATGCCAGCTCTTGTCAATCGAGGCAATCCCTAAGCCCTGACAAACCCCTAAACCCGAAGCTTAACTAACCTCGACGACAAGACCAATGAACAACTATTATCGAAGAATGCTTGGGTTCGGGTCTGCTCGAACAGTAGCCGATTCTTCTGCTATGCGTTTGGCAGTTTTGCATTAACTAGAAGGCCTTCTTGGCTCATGTTCCGTTGCCGCGCTGGTAAATCTGCATCCTTCTCGACACGTTCGAAGATCTTGAAAAACCCTTCGAAGCCTCGTGCTGGAAAAGGAGCCAATGATCTTACTTTCCCAGAAGCCCGCGTAGAAGAACGCCGAAATTCAAGATCCCACATTTGCCAAAGCCCAGGGGCAGAAGACTGGCCACTCCATGCACGGGCTCTTGCTGTCGCAGACCTCGCCTGTCATACCCAGCTTCCTGGCAAGGAACTACAGCAATGAGCAGATGAGCAGGACGACGCATCGAGGCCCCAAAGCCATCAATCTTCAATTCCGAAGACTCTCCTGAAACCCTGACCTGCTCGGAGCTGTCTACGCTGTCCGCTTCATGGTCACAAGATGTAGGAATGCAGAAAAGGGTTTGGAACTGCTAAGCTTACTTCCGCCTGGTGCCCAGGCTGTAGAGTCCGAAGTTCAATTCGGTGCCCCCTTTGCTGTAGGCTGTCTGGAACCTTGGTATGGCCATGTATGGCCCTACTTCACGAAGCAGAAAGTGGTGGGTCTTCAGGGCCATATCACAGGACATTCAAGGCAGGAAAATGTGCCAACCTGTGTTCTTATTGTTGCAGTCGCTTTCGTCCTCAAGGAGGTGGCTCCCTACTATTGGGCCCTGAGGCGACATAACAAACCCCTAAAACCAGTTCGAATCTTGAAAGGCGCACGTGCGGGGCACGGTATATCTTCAAGAAAACGTGTTCGTCCAAAAGCTACCAACTTTCATTGCTCAATCAAGTAACTACGTTAGCGGAATTGCCTGAACTGCGTGAAGTCTGGACACTCGTAAGTGGCCATATTGGCCATCATAGACCTTGCTTTGACTTGGACGATGCGCATGTCTGCTGCTGTTGCTTGTACTTTCATTTTTGTTGGCGAGCAGAGTCGCCCGGGTGTCTGCTGCCTAAGTTCACGGCGAATGCAGCCTTAAACTCCTCCGTAATTATGGCGTATGCGCCAAAGGGCTGGAAAACGGCAGCACCCAAGAATAGCGCGTCATCTTCGGCGTGCTTCTCGAGGGACCTCGGTAGCTTGAGCGTGTGCATCACACAGACACACACACACAGACACACAGAGAGGCACGCACAGAGACACACACTCAGAGACACGCACACAGACACACAGACACACAAACGCACAGACAAACAGACACACAGACGCACAGACGCACAGACGCACAGACACACAGACACGCAGACACGCAGACGCAGACACGCACCCACCCCCACCCACCCACCCACCCACACCACACACACAGACAGACAGACACACACCACACACAAACATACACACACACCCAGACACACAAAAACAGAGACACACACACACACACAGAACACACACAGAGA